GGTTGACGATTGCTTTGAGTTCCATATGTTCTTTAATTGTAGATATGCTGCTCTTGCTTTGCCGATCCGCGTCTTCACATCTGCCTCTAACCCCTTCGGTGTCTACTACCCGTTCCAAGCCCGAATAAAGGAGGAGGTTTGGCCATAGGGTTATTGACCCCATCAAATAGAAAACTAACTCACAAAAAAACGCTAACCAGGGAAAAAACTATTCGTAGCATGATCTTAATATTATATAATTCTTTTCTTCATACTGTTCTTCCTCTATAGTCATCTGACTCCTCTCTCATATTCTCTTTAAACCTTCTACCTTCAACTAGTTTATTTCTGTTTCTATGATTCTCCTGATTATATTTAATCTCAATTTAAACAACTCCGCCTGTAGCTCTTCTAGAGGTACTGCCGGTCCCAAGCTCGGATAAAGGAGGAGGGTTGAGCATGGGGTTAGCGACCCCATACCGTATAAAATCTAACTCGCTAAAAAACGCTAACCAGAAAAAGTAATTCAAACCATTTAAACTCTGCCCTGGAAGTTGAAGGAATAAGCAGATATGAAAAGGATGAATAACAACAGGAAAAGATTGCCCAGGATGAGTTTGATGGAGAATGCTGGTGGGCGGCTTATGCACCTCCACTAGGGGCAACAAGCGTAAGTAATTAAGTAGTCAATTTAAACATTATATCTTATCATGCTAAGCTATCCTTCCCCAATGATAATTTACCTATCTATCTTTTAATGAATCTTTAATTCATTGTCACCAATGTCTAACAGACGTTTATTACCAGTATTGTTGTAATTATTATCATCCTTTAAAATAAGTACATATATATACTTGCGATTGTACAGCTTTGATAGTGAATTCGCCGAAATGAGAACACTTATCAGAGAATGAAAGTTAAAAAAAACAACAACTTTTAATAACTTTTATAAACAGGGATGATAGTGGATAGTAGTGGAATCCAGGGTTCACATTTTTCTCTCTGTATTTGAAACTTGTCAGTTGGATGTATCTGAATCTTAGAGTTATAATGCTTGTGACTAAAAGCAATATCGAAGTAATAAGAAGAAGATGTAGATTCGGTAATAAGTGACTGATCAATTGTTGTTTTAAATATCAATGGGAATGTTATATAGTTGAAAGTATGAGTCAATTGAAGCTAGATTATCATGGAAAACCTGGAAACACTGAATGGTCGTTTCGTCAATGGGTATATTCAAGCAACTAAATACATAAATGAATTAATAACTGTCTTTGTTGTTCAATGTTTAATATTCATCTTTACTCTGTGCAAAACGATTCAGCATACGAAGAGTAGTTTATAACTAATAGAGTTAAATATTAAGAAAGTCTTAATTAATTTAAAAAGCTGAATAAGCCTGTAGTGATGTGCTTCGTTAATTGTTCACCTTGATAACCGTTATAATACCAATCTTCAAATCCTAATCTTTCTGGATTACTACTTATACTCTTACTACCCCTATCACTATGAGATTTGAATCGACAACTGCATCTCTGTGTTAATGTGATATGTCAACTCGAACTGATGTACCTACGTATGAAATTCTACGTTGTAGCTGTCTGACTAATCAATCATAACGGTGTGTAAAATCAGAAGGCAAAGAGAAGTGACAACTGTAGTTTTATTGACAAATGACACAGGCTAGAAATTTATAAGCACATGAGCAAATATCAGTGAGCGAAACAAAAAAATGACACTCATTAGAGATGGTGGGGAAGCCAACTCACTTTTATCAAGCGTTCATCCATATTTACAGTCAGATAAGAATAAGTTACAGACATGAGATGAATAGGATAAGAAAGTGTACACACATACATAGTCAGGGTTAATAAGCAAATAATCAACAAGGTGAAAACATGACACAAGATGGATAGCTAAATTGGTTTGTCCAGAAGCTAGAATAAGGTATATAGGCTTAACATATCAACCGACAACTAGATTCCTGTACTGATAGACGGATCTGATGTTTGTTGTCCTGGTCTCCGGGTTTTTATTGTTGTTCTGGTCATTGGCTTTCCAGTTATTCCACAAATTCCAAACTGGTTTTTTTTTCTGGTAGCCTTGTTTATGAATAATTGGTTTATATTGTTTAAGCTTTTCTTTGCATTCTTGTTGATCACTACTAGCTACTGTCCATCTTTGCTTACAAGGCTTGTGAATTAAGGCCATTTCGAGGCAATACATACAGTATGAATATATGCCAATTAGAGACTGACCAGTTGCAGTCCTAACTATCAATGGAAAGATTCAACTAAACAATACCACGTGAATTCTTGTTGACCTTTTTCTTCAGTTGACCTCTGACTACGCAACTGATCTAAATGTTATATCTTTAGTATTGTCTTGAATCATACTTTGAAACTTTCATAATCGAATTCAATAAGAACAAATCTAATCGGGATACCAGTTCATAGCTACTTGAAAATAAACTCTCAAGACAAACAGATGAATTTATTTATTCAAGAGAAATTCAAAAATCTATATTTCCATAACAGGAATCATTTAGAAAATTTTAAATGATCTTTATATGATATTGTCAGTGAATAATTATCTAACTTTCAACTAGATAACTTCAATGTTTATTCCTTTTCGTCAACTATTCACATTAAGTATTTACATTAATAGTTGAAATCATTAGTCAATTGAAACTGGACCACCATGTAAAACTTGGAAGCACTGGATGGTCGTTTCGTCCTATTATAGGACTCCTCAGCAATGCGCATCTACGAACCCACCTCTCGAGATTCAAACCCAGGACCTACTAGTTTCGCAAGTGAACGCTTACATTAAAACAATTCAGAAAAGAATATTTTCTTTACTGAACTATATTTTTAGTTTATTAAATTTAGTTGTAGTATAATTACTTACTTACTTACTTTCGCCTGTTACTCCCAATGGAGCATAGGCCACCGACCAGCTTTCTCCAACCCACTCTGTCCTGAGCCTTCTTTTCTAGTTCTTTCCAGTTCTTGTTCATTCTTCTCATGTCTGTCTCTATTTCTCGGCGTAATGTGTTCTTTGGTCTTCCTCTCCTCCTTTGACCTTCAGGATTCCATGTGAGGGCTTGTCTTGTGACACAATTGGGTGATTTCCTCAAAGTGTGCCCAATCCACTTCCAGCGCTTCTTCCTGATTTCTTCCTCCGCTGGATGGAATCTGGTTTGTTCTCTCCCACAGTAACTTGTTGCTGATAGTGTCTGGCCATCGGATCCGAAGTATCTTGCGTAGATAGCTGTTAATAAACACTTGCATCTTCTGGATAATGGCTTTCGTAGTTCTCCACGTCTCTGCCGCATACAGAAGAACTGTCTTGACATTTGTATTGAAAATTCTAACCTTGGTGTTGGTTGACAATTGTTTTGAGCTCCAGATGTTTTTCAGCTGTAGGTATGCTGCTCTTGCTTTGCCGATCCGCACCCTCACATCTGCATCTGATCCACCGTGTTCATCAATGATGCTGCCCAGATATGTAAAGATTTCCACATCTTCCAAAGCTTCTCCGTCAAGTGTAATTTGATTGGTGCATATTGTATTGTATCGGAGAGTCTTGCTTTTCCCTTTGTTTATATTGAGACCTACTGCTGCTGAGGCTGCTGCTACACTGGTCGTTTTCTCCTGCATTTGTTGTTGCGTTTGTGATAGAAGAGCCAGATCATCCGCGAAGTCTAAATCGTCAAGCTGCATCCTGCCTGTCCACTGTATCCCGTGCATTCCTCCAGTTGTTGACGTCTTCATAATCCAGTCGATCACCAGGAGAAAGAGAAAGGGTGAGAGTAAGCAACCTTGCCTAACACCGGTCTTTACCTCGAATGAGTCGGTGAGTTGTCCTCCGTGGACGATTTGGCAGTTTAGTCCATCATAGAAGTTCCGTATGATGTTGACTATCTTCTCAGGCACGCCGTAGTGTCGAAGAAGCTTCCATAGTGTCGTCCTGTCCACGCTATCAAATGCCTTCTCGTAGTCGATGAAGTTGATGTACAGTGATGAATTCCATTCGATTGATTGTTCCACAATGATACGTAGAGTTGCGATTTGATCTGTGCACGATCTATCCTTACGAAATCCAGCTTGTTGATCTCGAAGTTGAGCGTCCACGGAATCCTTCATCCTGTTTAACAATACTCTGTTGTATACTCTGTAGTATAATTGCTTATGATATAAATCTTGTATCACTTCTTCATAGATATTCTGAAAAATTATGCCTTTCATTTTAGCCTACTATTAAGTAGTATAAAATGTCACTCAAAATTTTGACGCACGATTCCTTATCTGGTTATAAGAATTTATATAAAATAAGAATGATATCATTATGATATGATCAAACAATTAATCTTGTCAATTAACAAATTACATATGACATTTTAATAGATTCATCACTATTCAATGATAATTAATTACTATTCATTATAAAGTTAAATAGAAGATGTTTAGATTACTTAAATTTATATATACATATTCAATCATATTTGACATGAATAATCTTTGTGAAAGAGAAAAGAATAGAGTAGAGTTATCATGTCATATCTTTCTATCGGGATAGATTAAATTAAATTAAAGCACTAATGTAGAATTATAAGTAGTATATATATATATACATCAGTAATGAATAAGACCAAGATGTATTCAATGGATAAGTAATTCATTTGAGAAAAATGAACAATGAGTAATGACACATTGTCTATTCCCATTGAATATCATCTTATAAGCATAAACACTTAATGTAAAACAAAGTAAATCTAAAGGGAAATAAAAAGAAACGGTTTCTTCATATCTTCATTTAATGTTATTGTTTGCCTAATGTATATTCTAATTACATGGAAATGATAGTTTGATTTGTGAAAATAGGATAAACAAACTTCTTATTCGTTAATGATGGACTGTAAATCTATTCATATAAGTAGTATAAATGGTGTTTTGTAATAGATTTTCAAATCATTTAAAACTGTATTCATTACTAGGAACATAGAAGATAGAATTAAAATGAATAAGTAAGTTAACTGTATTATATAATTCATCTTCTTTGTTCTATTTTACTGATACAGTAAGATGAATAGTGGCTATCAGTGAAATCGATCTTTGCTTATAATGTATATGACTTAAGTCAACATGAAGGCAATTTATACAGGATGTCTAGGATATCAATAAGAGACTGATTAATTGTAGTCGTAAAGATCAATGGGAAAATTCAATGAAACAATATTGAATGAATTAAACATCACTCCATTGCATAAGCAGTTGGTTATCAGGAATCAGTAGTTAAGTGAATAACACGATGGCATTTGAAAAGAAGGATACTGGGTTTGATTCTCACAGTGAACATCATCTCTGAGATGTAAGCAGATCCGGCTGACGAATCCTAAATAGAACGAAACACTCGTCTTGAATTTCAATGCTAACCACTATCCATCTTTGTTTCAAATTTTATCATAATCATTAATTTTATAATCATTTAACAAATATCTGTTTAAGTAATATTTTATTAAGTAATGAACTTTAAAATTATCAGAAAGATGTTTTGTGGAGATTATAGTAATTTAATAGTTGATTTCATGAGTCAATTAAAGTTAGACCACTATGAAAAATCTATAAGCATTAGATATCTATTCTGTCCTAGTGTAGGACTCTTTGGCAGTGGGTAACCATCACCCCGCACCTCAGCATTCGAATCCAGGAGCAAACGGTCTCTCAAATGAACGCTTAGCCTCTAGACCACTGAGCCGGTATCCAACGATGTTAATTTCTAACTTCAACCAATCCACGAAATTGTTAGATGTAGATAGGTCGCTGAATTTTCTTTTTCTAAAACAACTTGTCCTAATTCAATTCTGTCAAGATGTTGAATATGTAGATTTCTAATGTGAATATTATCTGTCCGATGTAAAATGTAGTGAAAATTGTAGTAAATAAAGAAATGTAGATATATGTATACAGATCTTATGCGAATACTTTTCGCCTTGTTTTTCTCTAGGCTATTGTTATGCTTGTAGCCGAGTGGATGACTATTTGATGTGTGGCTCGATAGAACCGCCTATTAGGGATCAGCGAATTGTCGATTGGAACAGCGACACGAAACCGTACGAGCAGTCTTGAGTGCTAACCGGTCCTGCGATCTGCCTAGCCCAGCCCGTTAAGTCCAGAACACAAATAACAGCCTCAGTGATATCAATCATTATTTACAAACATACTGGGTTTTTATACAAATCAAAGTAATCAACAATCTAATTATAACTCAATAATCGTATGATCATAAATCAAAGATCAAAATAAAGCTAATGATAAGAGAAACACGAATATGAATAGTTTAGTTACGTAACAGTTGTACAATAAGAAATGGGCATAATACATTGGTCGATAAATAGTCCTCAGAGTTACCATTCATAATTCACCAGGGGATATAACAGCTATGAATCGAAACTATTTATCATTGCATCAACCGTAATCAAACTTTTATTTCCCACTGGTTATGATATAATTTTTTTATATGTGTATACGATCATCAAAGCAATCTTGTTGATTTAATCTTACTTACTTACTTAAGCTGTTATAAACTTTAAATATCATGCAGTTTTGAAATAATTGCTCATAAATGCCCTGGTACGATCGAGGGTGAGGAAAGTCCATTCCCCTTCTCGAAATGCTCTCACATGACCACGCGTATATTCCATCTGCCAGGCAATTCCTACTCACTGCCTTCTTGTGGCATTAATGTTGTTTGTGAAATTGAGAGGATGAATAGAGAATGTCTGTCGCTTCAACCAGATTGGTGGACACGGAAAGTTCACCTAGAAGAGTTGGAAAACTCTCATTTCAAACAAATGGTGAATAAGGGTGAACAAACGGTTTACGAACCTATTGTTAGTAACTGACTACAATAGAACTGAAACTCCTAAATTTGTTCCACTGCTTGTGGATCAGACCCTTAGGTCAAAGGCTCCGGGTGTTTCCCCCTAAGAAAATCACCTATTCGATCTGGGCACCCAGGCAGTATTACAGTACACACACAAATCAAGTGACTCATATGGAGTATATATGTCGGGTTCCCCCCTTGTAACCCCCTTTGTACTTAAAAGAAACATGATCAAATGAAGTAACTTTTTTTTTTTAAAATAAAAAAAACTATTTTTACTTACTGAAATGAACCATGATCCATTATAGTTATTTATTACCTAATTCTAATTACTTCTCATTCCCTTTTCCCCTCCTCCCTTTTTCTCCCCTATAGTACATATCATTCGAACAATGATCCAATCACTGATTTAAATGTAACTAAGATACAAGAATTGGAACATCAAATCACCCCTCATTTAAACCTAATCAATCGTAATAGTTTTATTAATAGAAAGAGATCAAATGAACAAACTTATATTCATTACTTAGATACTAAAGCATTAACATTATTGAATTCACGTAAATCATCTAAATTATATCCATCTTTTAATGAGAATATAGATAATTATGGTATTACTCTTGATGAAGCACAATTTTTAGCAGACGAAACATTAAAAAAATTAGATCAAATAAAATTTAGAGTAAAATCAAATAGAATTTATTGTTGTTGTTGTGGTTATTGTTGTTGCCATGGTAACAATTCTCATAAAAAATGTATCAATAATAAAATAAATCCAGAAGAAAATTTAATTTATATAACAAATCGTGATGAAATATTAGAGAATCCAAATCTTATTTTTAATGTAAGTCATTTTATTGATTATTTATAGAGGAATTCTGATGGCTGAACTCGAGGAAGTTCTATGAAGTTCAGAAAGAGTTGAAGATATTCCATCCAATACATGTACAGGGTTTTTATTAACATTTGTCTAATAGGGAAGCTACACATAAAGACTCTGAAATATTATTCGAAAAGATGATTGATTGGAAGATCTTCGACTCATTGTGCGCTTCTTGGATCTTTCTTCAGTTTAATTATGGGACATCCTCAAAAAATGAATTATTGACAAGCCTTCTACGTTTGGAAAACAAAAATATTGCTTATTAAAAGTTATGATTTTAAGTGCTGTTAGAGGTATTAAGGTGGTTTTCACTTCCCAGTTGCCTACATTGTGGAATAGTTCATCTAGAGGTACCTGAAGAAGAAATTGGTTTAGATTTGGTCTTCATGAGCTGACAGTGTGACCGCAGTGAACACGGGACATCTGATTGAGGTCGGTTACATACGACCTTTTTATGAGTAATTTTCTTGTTGGCTCTATACTTGTTGAAACCTTACTACCGGAGACGGAAATCCATGGGGTAAGGCGAGGTGTGCACTTTTAGGGTCGACTTTTTCTAACCTGACCCATCCTAGTGAGAAGACAGCATCGCTGTTATGCTTCTTGTCTGAAGGAAATACCTTACTTCCGTCACACCAATGTATAGTTAACAGTACGACTTCATCCTCGGACTTTGCATTTGTTGCTTTTAGTCTTACAGCTATTCAACCGACCTTTCTGGCATGATAGGACCTTAAGGAACGATTGTTCTAGCCAGTATAATTCAATTGGTTCATTACGATAGGGAAGCACGACCACTAAGTCAAGGTAGAAGATTTACTTTCAATTACTTGATAGTTAATACTTCAATATAAAAGTATTTAATCCACATTCACAAGTACTTAAATTAGGTTTATATTCAACATGAAGAAGACAAGATAGTGTATTAGCAGTTATGGAAATTTGCGGGAAACATTCTATTGAATACAATTTAAATTGGCACGATCTATGTTTTTACACTTAGTTGACAAGAAAACTCCCTTCAACGGAACATTCAGTTTACGGATGGTTTTCTTGGAAATACTTCATTGTTATATGTTCACCTGGGTACAAACCGGTACATACCGGAATTTCTAGGATAATCAATAAACCCTAATTTCAATAATTATATCATTAAATTGATATGTCTTGATCATTTAAATGAATTGGTTTTTGGGGTAGGTTATTTTCATATGTAGAAGGGAGTATTAGACACTCACTATGTCCTATTGAAGTGCATTACACTAGGATCAAATAATTGTCTATTTCTTCATAATTTTAAGGGCTGTCAGAGGTCAGTCTATAACGAGAGCACAAGTATGGATAACCAAATGTATTTGAATATAAAATTATAGGACATCATGGTAAAGACTGAGAACCATAAAGTGAAATACTTCATTTGTAAAACATCCTTAAATATCTCAGAATTCTTTTCAACACCAATCACTTGTTGTTCTCGTTCTGTTTCGTCGATCTTCTTAGCCTTCTACCTCCAGGTATTTCACTTTCGTTTGAAGATACATACTACTTATATTCGTTGACATCAGTAGCACATACCACATTGGCTTTAAATTTGATTTTTCCTTTTGTAAAGATCAGCCAATCATCCCAGACTTCATTGTTCTTTCATTTCCACACACCAATCACCTTCTGTTCTCGTTTTGTTCTCTGAGATCTCAATCTTCTACCTGTAGGCATTTCACTTTGGTTTGAAGATATATACTACTTATATTTATCGATATCAGTAGCACATACCACACCCTATATATCTATATATGATTTTAATTATAATTTCCCCTTTCTTCTTTCTTTTTTAATTAAGTATGTTAAAACAAATGAAACAGAAAGATTGGGTGAAATTTTAGCCTACAATCCATTTATAATAAATCAATGTGATTCAAATCAACGTACTTTATTACATTATGCTGCAATGAAAGGTTATTTAGATTGTGCAAGTGTTTTAGTTGCACATAAAGCAAGTAAGTGTAATGTGTATGTAATACCTTTATCACATAAGCACTATTTTGGACAACTTATGGATAACAACAAGAACAAAAACAACAAAATAGGAGTTGTCTGTTAGTGATCCTCCTTAAACAACAACTGAGTAGATAACACTATGGTGTTTGAAGAGAAAGGTACTGGGTTCGAGTCCCAGAGTGAATATCAACTCTAAGATGCAGGTATGTCCAGCTGAATAGTCCTCAATAGAACGAAATGTGCATCAAACTGGATTACACTACTAGACACTCTCCATCTTTGCTTACCATGCTTGTGAACTTAGGATATATCTAGGCAATACGCATAGTATGCGCATATGCGCAATAAGAGACTGACTAGTTTCAGTCCTAAACATCAATGGAAAGATTCAAACAAGTAATACTAAGTAAATTTGAAGTTCACCCGATTGCACAAGCAAGTGGCTATCAGGACTCAGTAACTGAGTGGATAACGCGATGGCGTTTGAAGCGAATAGAACTGGATTCGAGTCCCAGAGTGAACATCAACTCTGACATACAGTTACTTGCAATTGACGTGTCCCAACTAGGACGAAACGCGCGTTCTGAGTTTCACTGCTAGCCACTATCCATCTTTGTTGACATGAAATAGTACAGTAATTCAACTGTAAGCAATCTAATTCGGTTGATGATAATTATGTGAAAGTTGAATTTCGGTGAGAATAGCTTCATGTTTGTGCTGATAATAGTAGAAACGCACATTCGTATCATTTATGGAGTATCTGTTGTAATCCCTCAATAGTTGAACTTATGAAAACGTAGATGGATCTACGTAAACGTTTATCAAATGGAACGTCAAAACATTTCTTTTAAAATTTCAATACTTTTTAAACTCTTATTAGTTTCTTCCTGTTGGATTGAGAGTTAACGACTTCATAAGATTTCTATCTTCTTGATATCGATGATAATGGTCCTGTTTAGAAGTGATCCTTCATTATCAGCTAGCATATTCAAATCATATCCATATTTAGATAGTGTATATATACAGTGCTCATATCATTGTACTTGTAAACAATGTCAGCTACTAGTGTTGTAGTAGTCAGAGAGTTGTCTTTTATGATTTTTTTTTAAAAGGCAAATACTCTGTAAAGTAAAGTATTACTGGTCGGTTCAAATAATTGATATTACTTTAGCTTTTGTGTTGATTGTTTCAATCTTCCAATTGAAGTATAGAAAATGCAATTGATCAGTCTATTATTAGCATATATACATCCCGTTCAGATTACTTCAACATTATAAACAATCAATACAGAAATGAATTAAATTTAACCTTTATAGCATAATCTACAGTCCATCTGGACTCAGTAGCTAAGTAGATAACATGATGGAGTTTAAAGCAAACAATTCAAAATTAAAGTCCTAAAGTGAACATCAGCTTTGAGATGCAGGTACACCTAAGTGACGAGTCCCAAAATAAGATGAAATGTGAATCCTAGATGACATTATCAGTCATCATCATCTGTGCTTAGAATTGATATTACTGTTTCCATGACTGAGAAAAATCTATTTCTCTTTTCAATTGCGGTAATAATTTAGGTCTCAACAATACGGTAAATTTTGAATTTTCCAAGATGGTTTCGTTGTAAATATGATAAATCTTTCCATTAATAGTAAGTAAATATCTTGATACTGTTACTGAAAGCATGAAGGAAAGTATACACTTCACTGATCACAGAAACTGAACATTTAAACATCTCAGAACTATGGAGTAAAATAAATGTGCTTTTCATCCTATTTGGGACTCAGTGCATGTTCCAGGGTGAACATCAACTCTAAGATATAGGTACACTCAGCTAATGAGTCTCAAATAGGACGAAACGCGCATCCTGGATTCCACCACTAGCCACTGTCCATCTTTGTTTAAAAATGCATGTGAATTAAGGCTATATGGAGACAGTACGCACAGGATGCACATTTGTCAATAAGAGACTGATCAATTGCAGTGCTAAACATTAATGAAAAGATTCAAATAAACAATACCAAATGAATTTGAAGTTCACCTGATTGCACAAGCAAATGACTATGAGGACTCAATAGGTAGGTGAGTGAATAAGGTGATGACCTGCGAAGCGAATGGTACTGTGTTCGAGTTCCAGATGCAGGTACATCGAGCTTACCAGTCAAAATTAGGATGAAACGTGCCTCCTCCATTCCACCACTACACACTATTCATCCCTCCTCATAATGCTTTTCAGTTAAGGCTATATCGAGGCAATACACACATCATGCACATATGACAATAACAGACTGATCAATTGCCGTCCCAAACATCAATGGGACGTTTCAAGTCAACAACACCAAAGGAATTATTGACCACAGTCATCTTATCAGTTTGTCAATATTTACTCCCTATATCAAATCTGATTAACAATAATTTTTTTTTCTTTTTTTTTAAAGGGATTAATGAACCAGATCATAATGGTAATCTTCCAATACATTTAGCTGTTAAAGAAGGACATCTACTTGTAGTACGGTATTTATTAAGTGTTAATGCTGATCCAACAAAACCAAATAAAAATGGTCTATTACCAATACATATAGCATGTGAAAAAAATTATTATGGCATATTAAAGGTAAGTGGTTTGGAATCTGTGTGTGTGTGTGCATGTTTGATAATTAGTGTTCAATCTATGTTGAAGGATCGGCAAGTTGATAACAACCGATGGTTAGAGGCCTTGAATGATATGGCTCAAAATCGTTTAAAATGACGAAGGTGCATCCACTCTTTATGTTCTGCCAAATTCTAATGTTCTAAACTCTTCATGTCCGTTTCTTTTTTCTATTTTCAAATTTGTTTTATAGGGTTATACTCTTTGAATAACTAGAAGGGGTTTTGTGGAGATTTCAGTATTTTCATAGTCAATTGAAGATAGACCACCATGGAAAACCTTGAAGCACTGGACGACCGTTTCGTTCTATTGTAGGATTCCTTGTGATAATAATAATAATCATATGCTCACTAGTGACTGACTTCGAGAGGTAAATTCAGGAGTTCTAGTGACATGCAGTGACCAGTCAAGTTCAAACCACGTCTGTTGTGAGATATCAACTCACTGAAGACAATTGATGAACGGTTTCCCAAACTTCGTGGATTGGTTGATGTTAGACATTAACGCCGTTGAATGTCAGCTTAAAGGTCTATCAGTTAAGTGCTCTGGAGCGAGACTGGAAGGTGCTGGGTTCAGATCTCGCGAAGCCAGGTCGTGGATGCGCAATGCTCAGGAGTTCTACAAATGAATAAATCAGTTTAATAGGTGGTTATCGTTTCTTTTCAAAGGAAATTTAACTATATAATCTAATAATAAACAATGAAATGATGATTTGTTATTATTTTATAGGCATTATTAGAATTAGATAATGTCAGTGTAAATGCAGAAGGTGAACGTGGTGCATCACCATTACATTATTGTTGTATTCATGACAGTGTAGAATGTATGGAGATACTTGTGAGTTCAAAATTTTTATTGTTGTTGTTGTTGTTGGTAGTGGTGGTGATGACAAACATATTCCCTCCGATCATTTAGAACAACATAAATGTCTTGCTGAATAATAACAGTACTGTTTTGACGATGAAACTAAGTGAAAGAAGTATCGGGAACTCATAAATAATGGTACAAGTAGACACCAGATATATATGCGCCATACAAATTTCACTTATTTGTTTGAGGGCTTTGATACTGCCCAGGTGCCCAAACTGAAACAGGTGGTCTTCTTAAAGGGTCACACCCAGAGCCTTTGACCTAATGGTCTGATCTACAAGGCAGTGGAACATCGTGAGGAGATGCAGTCCCATAGTCACCGGTCACCAACGATTAATTCATACGCCATTTGTTCCTTCAGGATACTGGAGCCCATGTGCACCATTGGTTTTGAATGAGGGTTTTCAAACTCCCCTAGTTGAACAATTCATGTCCACCAACCCGGTTAAAGAGTCTGACATTCGCTTTTTGTCCTCTCAGTTTGGTAAACAAAAGTAATGCCACGAGAAGGCAGTGAGTAGGACTTCCTTGAAAGAGGCTATATACGCGTGGTCATGTGAGAGCATTTGGAGAAGGAAAGCGAACTCTATCCACTCTTGGCCGTACCAGGGCATTTGGGGGCATACATTTGTGTACTTGTGTGTGTATGGTAAAATATGAAAAAATGTGATATTTGTGGTGGGAAAGGATATAGTTTAATCTTAATGTACGATAATTGTGTGAAATATGAATAGAATGAGATGTGATAGCTTGGACAGATGATCCAAGTTGGATGGATAGTGTGGCCTTGTTTTCTCTTGAGAGCAGTAAGATTAAGTTTTATGACTTTATAAAAAATAGGACGTATGCCAATTGGTTGTGATCTTATGTCCGGCTTTTATCATGTCAGTTATCCACCAATCAAAATATGACTTTCTCCAATCTTAACACTGTGCGAAATCAATGACGTTCAAGTGGTATTGTGGTGTGGTCTACTTACATCTATATAAGTAGTATATGGTGTGGGTCAGACATAGAATGTATTTTCGCAGAAGACCGATGAGGAAAGAACTGAAATGAAGCGCAATCGTTTGGAAAATGCATGAGCAATGGAATTAGAGAAGAAACAGTGAAGATTGAAACAATTGGTTGTTAATTTGCAAATTGACTGTTTATTGTTTGGTTATCAGAATTTACTGAGATAGTCTGTAATCTTTGCTTAAATACATTCGATTGTCCCCAACCAGTGTTTTGTTCACTACAGTATGAGCAGTCTAGCATCTTTATTGGTTCCTTGACCACCTAGCCCTTCCAATTGAGTTCAGAATACCAGCTTCAGCTATGCGAATCATTTATTTCAAGCATATTTGGTTTATATACTTGAGAGACAGGCCGCATTACACGATAAAACGGAAAATAATATTTGTACAAGATCATGCCAAATGTGGCTGTGAACGTTGGAGACAGTAATATACAAACTGAATATAATTTAGGGAAAGTAGATCGTATAATAATAATCGATGGATCAAAATGAAGTGTACTGTCGGTTGATATGTTGAACCCATATACCTTATTCTAATTTCTGAACGACACAATTTATCTATCCATCTTGAGTCATGTTTCGACCTCGTTCATTGTTCACTCATTAACCTCGATTATTTTTTATATGAGCGTATGTGTGTGTACACTTCTTATCCTATTTATCACAAGTCTGTCACTTACTCGTATCTGAATATAAATATTGATTAAAGCTTGATTAAAGTGAGTTGGCTTATCCGCCATCTCCAATTCTTGTCATTTTTGTTTCGCTCGCTGATATTTACTCATGTGCTTATCATTTTCTGACCTGCGTCATTTGTCAATAAAACTGTTGTTGCCGCTTCTCTTTGCCTTCTGATTTTATGCACCGTTAAGAATGGTATTATAACGGTTATCGAGATGAAAGATTAACGAAGCATGGTACTACAGAAGCTTATAATAAGATGAATATAGATATACACATTCTAGTTACTCAAAAATTAAACAATCAGAGTATATACATAGAATAATAGTCCATTGAAGAGTCCTTGGAGTTACTTGTTCTTATGTCTTTGCTAGGATATAACAGTCTCAGACTCAAATATTCCTTAGTTTCCGAAACCAATCATTTATTATTCTAATTCTCATTTCTTCAATCTACTTAACTTTCCGCCTTCAAGTATTTCAACTTCCACTGATGATCTATCCTACTTATATCTGTCAGAATCAGTAGCACACACTACATTAGCAACAATTTTTTGAAATTAAGAAACAATAATTATTAGACATAACTTTCAGTAGGTTTCCTTTAAAATTCTGGCAACAACACTGAATGTTACCCCATTATTATTATTATTATTATTATTATTTTCATAGTTGAAAGCGTGAGTCAATTGAAGCTAGACCACCAGGGAAAACCTCGAAGCACTGGATGGCCGTATCGTCCTATTGTGGGACTCCTCAACAGTGCGCATTCTCGACCTCGCCTCGCAAGATTCGAACCCAGGACATACCAGTCTCGCGACAAAGCACTTAAACGTGGATGCGCACTGTTGAGGAGTCCCACAATAAAACGAAACGGCCGGCTAGTGCTTCCAGGTTTTCCATGATCGTCTAGCTTCAATTGACTAATGCTTTCAACTATGGAAATACAAAAATCTCCACAAAAAACCCTTCTGATTATTATTATTAATTCCTTATTATCATTATAGTTAAACAAAGGAGCTAATATCTTTGCATATGATTTAGAGCATACTTATCCAGTACATGTTGCCATAGCTAATGTTAGTCGTAAATGTTTAAATTTATTATTTAAAATGGAAGCCTATTTAAAAGTGCATCATTTAAATCAACCAATCAAATCACAAAGAACAAAATCATCATTCAATATAGATACACAACATACTCATGTATTATGTAATACTACTACTACTACTACTACTACTACTAATAGTAGTAGTATAGTGAAATATGATATAAAGAAGAAATCAATTGATTTTAATCAATTTAATTGTTATCTAAATCAACAAAATAATGATAAAGAGAATAATTTGATTAATTTAACTGATTGTGAAGGTGAAACTCCATTACATGCGGCAGTTACATCAGGGAATTCCGATATGGTTAAAGTAAGTATTGTCAATAGTTATCATTTGTATTATCATCTATATATGGAATCATCAAATATTTAACTATTTGGATTATATTACTTACTTACCTACCGCTGTTACCCCTCGTGTAGGAGTATAGGCCGTCCACCAGCATTCTCCGTCCAACCCTGTCCTGAGCAATCCTTTCCAGTTGTTATTCATTCTTTTCATATCTGTTTCTAATTCCCGATGTAATGTGTTCTTTAACCTTCCTACTTTCCATTTCCCTTTCGGATTCCAAGTTTAGAGATTGCCTTGTGAATTCGGATTATATAAATGATTGTTATTGAAATATACATATTAGCTATTGTTGTCTATGATGACTGACTTAAATCCCGCTGATGAATAAACAGAATTAAAGAAATTAAATATGAGAATGAAGTTTTGAATTCGTGTATTGTGTACATTCATTGATCTGGACAGAAAATCAGAGGAACGAAGAGAAGGGAAGCGGTGAGAAGAGAGCGAAGGAAATGACTCAGTGGAGAGGGCATGTGAGCTAACCTGATTTAATCAAATGGTAATCAATATTCATAGTCGAACGAAAGTAGGTTACAGACATGAGATGAATAGGATAAGAAATGTACATGAATACGTTTACATAAAAACAGTCAAAATTGATAAATGAATGAGTGACAGGGTAAAAATTTGGCTTCAGAAGAATGGACAGGATTGACCTGTCCAGAAACTGGAACAAACTAACATGTTGGCTTGACATAGAGTATCCCTTGCAATATATTTAAAGCAATTAAATAGAATTGTGCTCTAAATTTATGCTGTTTATAGCTCACTCGATATAAAAGTTACCAAACTTAGCTACTGTATACGTAAAATAGTAGTAGTTGGACCACAGAGACTTCCTCACTCAATATCAATCTAGTAATCAAGGTAGTCTATACGATGGACTACAATGCAGAGTTGTGCATAGAGAACAGTTGACAGATGCATTTCCAGTAAGGACCGGAGTCAGACAAGGCTGTCTACATATGGGACTCAAAACAACTCTCAACGCTACCCTGCATTGTGCGTATTCGTTCAATTTATGAGTTTGAATATAACAGGCTTCTTAAGGAGTCAAAACGGTTCCAATTATTTTGTTAGGCATAGTGTTCAAACGAGTGGTCATGTCTGTTTTTAAAAGTAGATCATTCTACTGTAAACTTAAGGATTGTATATTCTGTCGTTCAAGTTACCGGTACTGATACAACTAGATGTGAAATTTAGAAGGAACTCATCACTGAAGTTGATTTTGTTGAAATAGTGTAATAATCAAAATAATTGATTAGAAGCATTGATGATTAAAATATCAAGTCATATGTCTCTAACAATGAAAGTTAAACGAAAAAACGATGTAACATTACAATATATGACACTTTTATCATAGTGAAAGCTTCATGGAAATTCTTGGATGTTGTTGGAACCGTGAACTGATCACTGAAAACTTGGAATTACTGGGTAGCTGTTTCATCCCAGTATAAGACTCCTCAGAAGTATGTGTCTTTAACTCTACTAGTGGTTGAACACAAGATCCTCAGGTATCATAGTGAACACTCAACCCTCAAGCTCCTAAGTCAACCTCCAGTGGTTAATATTTTTGACTTTCATCAGTCGCCATATTCTACTATCATTTTTAAACGCCATTGGTAGGTAAGTGGCTCACATTCAACATGATTAGATTCATTTAGTAACGAATGTACACTAGAACATGATATTTTTAATAGATAACAATAAAAAGATTACAGTTAACTCGTTATAAGGATACAACGTTTTGTAAAGATTTTAAAATCAGAATATGACTCACAGCATTATTTACACTTTTTAAAACGTATTAATGGTGGACAGCGGTGCAATTTCATAGATTGGTTGAAGTTGAACATTAACATCACTGGATGCCAGTCGACTCAGTGGTGTACAAGTTAAGCGTTCGTGAGAGAGACCGATAGGCCCCTGGTTTTAACCGCACTGGCAGGGCCGTGGTTGCGCACTTCTGAGGAGTCCCATATGAGGACAGAACGGTCGTCTAGTGCTCTCACGTTTTCCATAGCTATCTAGTTTCAATTGACTCATGAATTCAACTATTAAATTTTCTAACAGTTTATGTCTTTTTGTTTATAATTCACTTGTTCTTATAGTCTTTTTTGAGTGGGGGGATTTATAAATTTATATAGTTGAAAACATTAATCAATGGATACAAAACCACCATGGAAAACCTGGAAGCGCTGGCCATCGTTGCGTTCTAATATAGGACTCGTCATCAGTACGCATCAACGATCCCACCTCTCGAGATTCGAACCTAGGACCGATCAGTCTCGCGCGCAAGTGCCTAACCTGTGCTCCTAGGTCTCCTATGGTGGTCTAGCTTCAACTCCTTCTGATATTATTAACTTTGTTTCTCTTTTCAATTCTTCTTCTTATTAGTTTTGTTTAGAACATAATGCATTTATATTAGCTAAACAAAATGATGATTCAACACCGGTACATTATGCATGTATGAAAGGTGATTTAGAATGTGTTCAATTAATGTTTGAATCTGATCCATCAATTAAATCAATTGTATTTATAATGCCAGATAAAAATGGTTATACACCATTACATTTAGCTGCTGTTTATAATCATGAAAAACTTGTTACCTATTTAGTTGAACAGGTCAGTTTTTAATCAACAATATTTAGTTTTGGGGAGTTGTAAAGATTGTAGTAGATAGATGAGTCAATTTAAGCTAGATCACCAATGAAAACATGGAAGTATTGGTCGGCTGCTTCGTCCTAATATAGAATTATTGAGTAGTGTACATCCACGATGGTGGAGATGATTTGTAGCTCAAGTGGGTGATTTTGATGGAGTTATATTCTCTGAGCTGGATAGTTTGGTCGTGGAGCTTTCATCGTCGTTCTGAACGACACCAAGAACCAATCGACATCGTGGTGTACAGGACAAGCTGTGAATCACATGTTTAGATATTGAAACACTTCACTTCTGTCCAAAGTTTGTGCTCATGAAGTCGTTCAGAAGGACGATGATGAAAGCTCCACGACCAAACCATTCAGCTCAGAGAACAAAACTTCATCAACACAACGACCCCTATTTCTGATAACAATCATGTGCTTACTAGCTTCAGGATGAACTTTCTGAAGCTCTAGTGAGAAGTCGTGATCTGTGTCTGGTGGAGAGAGTTATCCACTTCAGACAATGGATGAATGGTTGTGCATCAGCATGGCTTGATTGAAGCCAGACATTAAAACCATTGGATGTTAGCTCAATAGTCTAGAGGTTGTGCATTCGCGTGCCAGATCGAATGTACTGAGATTGAGTCCCACGTGCGGGATATTGGATGCTTACCGTTGATAAGTTCTATACTAGTACGAAACGCCCAACCTAAGTTAGACAGTTTAGGTTGACTCATGAATTGAACTATTTATGAAAAGTAAATAACTTATGCAAGTTTTATTCATCATGACACAATATAAGATTTTTTTAGTCATTCATTCGTTTCCTAACCGTTTCGCTCTGTTCGTAGACCTCTTATTCCTAGGTACACATACTTCCGAAGTCATATAAAAGTTGATTTTCTCAGTAAATTATGTATCTAGTAGGATAGAAAACTTATAGATTCTGAATATTTATCTATTTGCAAGTTGTGTAATTCTAAAGACTATCGCCTTACTTCATGACACGGTTTCGCTATCATACTGTAGATTAAAAATAACGTAATCATTATATGTTCGGCGGCCTTTGCTCCACTGGGAGTAACAGGCGTAAGTAAGTAATTAATCACTATATGTAAAATGTTAAAAAAGGGGTGGTAGAAGATTCGTAGCTCGGATGAATGATTTTGATGGAGTTTTGTTCTCTGAGCTGGATGGTTTGCTCGTGGAGCTTCTACCCAAAGTTTGTATTGATGATGTCGACGAAGAAGAGAATGACGATGAAAGCTACACGACTAAACAATTCAGCTCGGAAAGCAAAACTCCACCGAAATCCTAATAAGTGTTTCTTTCTTTTTTGAAATGGGACTTTTCCTCTTCTTTTCTATCATCTAGATCGGAATAATGAAGAGCGCATAAAGTATGAGTTCATATATTAAAAAGTGAATTGTAGACTCTTGATTCGACAGTTTTCAAATTTATCAATCTGAAGAAAAAAAATCAGTGTTTCAGCGTTTACTTACTCAATCAAACGAACACTAAACACACACACCGATGCATCGTGAAAACAAACGAATGCAGATCTTTGAGTATCTGTCTTCAAAGAATAAATCCAAATCTTACTGACAACGTTGACAGTAGGGTTATTGATTTTTAAATACATAGTAGATAACAAATATGGACAGTGGCTAGCAGTGGAATCCAGGACGTGCGTTTCGTCTTATTTGGGACTCGTCAGCTGGATGTACCTGCATCTCAGAATTGATGTTCACTCTGGAACTCGAACCCAGAACGCTATACGCACAATATGCATATATGCCAATAAGGAACTGATCAACTGAAGTCCTAAACATCAATGAGAAGATTTAACCAAACAATAGTTTGTATCGGTTCTTCGAAACAGTTCTACTCCTAAATGTTCCAATCAATCTAAGTGTTTAATTATTATATTTTAAAAAGGTTTTGCTATTTGAGTAAGAGACCAAAGTTCGTCATTTACCCTAAACTTTACTTTTCCGTTTTCTTACATTTTTATAAAATACCAAAAAATCAAACAGGGTTCACCTTTAGAAATGACTGAAACAAATGGATGGACACCCTTATTATTAGCTGCTATGAAAGGAGCTTTACAAACATGTATTCAATTACTTCGTCTTGGAGCAAATCCTAATGCACATGATTCTAGTAATCGTAATTTAGTTCATTTATTGATGTTATTTCAAGGTCCAGGAATCAGAACAGTCCTACCAGAGCTGAATGATGTAAGTTATTGATTATATATAAAAAAATATATTCAGTGTTTTAATTGAATTTATAAGTCATTTGAAGCTAGATTGTCATGAAAAATCTGAAAGGACTGGACGGTCGTTTCGTTCTAATATGCTCATCCGCGACCCTGTTCCCGGGATTCGAACCTAGGATTCAACCGCACAATTACTAAAATCTCCACAAAACCCCCTTCTGATAAAAACATATGTATACATTTATTTATTTAGTTATTGATTCAAGAGACAGCATTTGTAAACGCCACCTATTTAAGTTATCACAGGTTTGTCAGGATAGTGGGATATTACTTCAGTCAAGATGATTTCTATGAGACATGATTGTGGAAAGATTTGTATGTGCGATAATGATATGTGGTATGAATAGAAATAGTTATGATGTTACAAGTTTATAATAAACAATCTACACCATGCTCAGTTTATTTGAAATGATCTTGGTAATGATACTATGGTGTATGCTACTGATATCGACAGATATTAGTAGTAGTACGAAAACAGAGAGTCATCAGTCTGGAAACGAAGAAACAAACAAGTCTCAAACAATTGGTTGACATTTTACAAGATGACATTCAATTAAGTTTACTTTAACTAACAAATTGACTACAGTTTGAGAAGATAAATCAACAGCTCTAAACTTATTGGACATTTCATGTGATGGTTTCTATGAAGTCTGGAGGTACTGATTTTGATCTCACGAAGGGTTTTGATTGTATATTGTTAATCAGTCTTAAACTGGGATAAAATAGCTTCTAAATATCAGTGGTTTTTATTACTTACTATGTGATATATGCTGCTTATGTCGGGTGGGGTGTTCTAGCAAGACGGCTTAAGTTATAACATCTGATGTCAACGGGGAGGAGTAGGAGGACATGCGGCTGCTGGGCGAGCATCGTACGTAGATGATTCAGCAGTTCGCTAAGGAGCAGGAGTTAGACATTCCAGGTGCTGGGCGAATATTGAATTTAGATGACTCTGCATGGCTAAAGTGCTATGGAGGTAGACGAGCTGGTGGACTCGATATTTTGACTGTGAGGGCGATAAAGACTTCAGGAAAGAATAATGAGATTCGGCGAGCAGAACAACCGCAAGAGCGACCGTTTAAAGAGGGGACGAGTGAGGTGTATGCTACTTATGTCGATAGGCATAAGTAATATGTAATAACCAATCAGAAGTAGGATATCTGGCGGCAGTAAATTTACAAGATCTAATTGAGGAGAACAGGAATATGAACAGAGTAATTGTAATAACAATGAAGGAATGATGAAACTTGGGACAGTTAATAGAAGATTTGCAAATGAACTATTTAATTTATGGTTTTTCATATTTTACAAATCTATTCTTTAATTTGCATTAAACAATAAATTGGTTACCCTTATCTGAGTTTCGTTCACTTCAATTACGCCGATATCAGAATACAAACTCAATTATCTAATATTTTAAAGTAATTTTATATAATTGAAATCATGAGTCAACTGAAGCTCGATCATCATAGAAAACCTGGAAGCACTGGATGGTCATTTCGTCCAATAATGGGAATCCTCAGCAGTGCGCATCCACGATCCTACCTTACGAGATTCGAACCCACGACCTATCCCTCTCGCGCAAGATCTCTTAAACATTAGACCACTGAACTGGCATCCAACGGTGTAAATGTCTAACCATTCAATAATGTCTTCAGAGAGTTAATATTTCACAAAAGACCTGGTTGAACTCTACTGGTCTAACGTCAATTGAATTACGATTTGAACTATATAAGATTATTATAATCTCCACAAAACCCCCTTATAATAATATTTAAAAGGTTAATATTTCAGATAACATGAATACAGATACCTCAGTACTACTGAAATTCATATTTAAGTAGTAAGAGAAATATGCCGAAATTTAGTTAATTGAATACTATCCATTTTTTTTTAAATGTTCATTATTATTTGATAGGAAGAATTATTTAAACGATTAGTCAATGAAAAAGATAAATATGGTACAACACCATTACATTATTCAACTAAAATGGGTAATCTTGGTGCTACTATTGCATTTGTTCTACGTGGGGCTTCTGCATTAGAACGTGATAATGAACGTAATACATCATTACATACAGCTGCATATTATGGCCGTTTACATACATGTGAAAAATTATTAGCTACACCACATGGTATAAGAGCAATGAATTGTCCAGATGCTATTGGACGTTTACCATTACATGTTGCAGTAGAACATGGACATATAGAAATTGTGAAAATGTTTCTTGATAGAGGTTGTCTTTTTCGAAAGTAAGATTCCCACCATCCCTCGTTTAATTATCATTGAAAAACAGTAAAATTCTAATAACTTACATACGACGTATAAAGCCTTCGTTCTGAAACTTGATAATAAAATGATAGGTAGTGGCTAGCAGTGGAATCCAGGACGCGCGTTTCGTCCTATTTAGGAATCGTCAGCTGGATATACCTGCATTTCAGAGTTGATGTTCACTCTGGGACTCGAACACAGTACTGTTCATTTCAAATGCCATCACGTTATTCACTAAGCTACTGAGTCCATCTTTACTCATAAAGCTTGTGACTTCAGGCAATCTCGAGGTAGTCCTCACAAGATGCACATATGTCAACAAGAGACTGATCAATTGCAGTCCTAAATAACAATGAGAAGATACAAGTATTGAACACTAAGTGAATCTATAATGGAATCTATAATGAGTTATCATAACAGTAAAGAATTATTAAAATTTTATGTTTATATTAATTGTACATATGGATTACAGTGATTGTTTGTTGACACTGACTGATAATATCGGATATGAAAGTATAGAAAGGTAACAACAGAATCTTCCTACAAATTATAACCGATTTATTTATTTAAACACATAAATATTGGTACAAGAAGGTACCAGATATATATGCGCCATTTGATTTGTGCGAAGGCTGTGGTACTGCTCAGGTGCCCAAACTGAAGCAGGTGGTTTTCTTAAGCAGCCACGCCTGAAGCTTTCGAAAAGTCCCGAAAATTCTTTCAGCCTCGACCACATAGTTTCAGTGTTGTCGGTATGTTGGTATGGTTTAAGGTTTAAGATTAAGTTTAAGGTTTAGGGTTACGGTTTAGGGTTAAAGATGATACTATGAATTATGGACGACATTTGAGCGACGCTAGAGTGAATCTGAGTGTGTCAACGTAATAACTAAGACTAAATGAGGGTTATAAACCCGTGTGAAGAATTCAAATTATGATTTACAGTTCATGGTTAAGGTTATGAATTTTACTTAGGGTTTTCATCACGAACTGACATCATCTATAATGCCACAACTCTATCCAAATGTATAATTGAATTTTGCGCCAAAATCTTATGATAACTTATCTTGTAGACGCTTAATTATCATGTTTTTTTCTAAAATCCGTTGTAAACCGACCGTACGTATACGTCAGGTACCGAACTTAGCGCCGTGACCTTGAAAACCCGCGAAAGCTTCTGATTGGCTCGTTCATGTTCTTTAGTCTCGCCTGATATTCTAGCTAACATCATTTTACATTGAAAGTTATCAACTAGAATTCACATTGTCATCGAATGAACTCATCCCTGAATCCTCTGTTATTTCGTTTTATGATATTGATACTTAAATTTTGAAGTCTGTTTAAGTTCAGGCATCTGTGATAGTATACTATGCAGAATAGAAATATGTTTCATATCTATCAAGGCACTTTTGTATCTCTTTGCTATAGTAAGAAACCTCTCTACTTACTTATTTATTTACTTACTTGCTTACTTATGCCTGTTACCCTGTCGTGGAAGAGTATTCCAGGTCAGTACTTGCTTCGTGATTCAATTTGGTGATTTCCGTAATGTATGTCCTATTCACTTATAACTACTTTAACTAATCTCCACTTCAACTGGAAGTTGGTTTGTTCTCTTCCACAGTAGTCTGTTGCTGATGGTACCCTGTCAATGGATATTGAATATCTTGCTTAGACAATTGTTTATAAATACTAGTACCATCTTGATGATTGTTGTAATAGTTCTTCACGTTTCAGTTCCATACAGTAGAACAGTCTTGAAAGAAACATCCCATCTCCCAATTAAATCGATAGTAAGGAATGTAAAAAATCATTTATTATCTATCTGACAAAACCATCGTAAATAGATCTACTTACAGATCTAAACTATAGATAATAAAGTCGAACAAGTAATCAACTGATGATATAGGCTAGAAAGGCGAATATTCATAATAGAGATGTCATGTAGTAACAAAGTTCTATATGGTAACTATGCATAGTTACAAAGTTTTTACTTAACTACTAACAATCTATTTCTCCCCCGTTTTTTTTTTGGATATATCTATCCCAGATGCCATTTAGGTAATACACCATTACATTATGTTTCAATTGGTGGTTGTATAAAAATATGCAAATTATTATTACAATCAAGTCCATCTTTATTGAATCAGACAAATTTTCATGGAGTAAGTTAATTTTTAAGTGTTGAGATGATAAGTTAATTTTTATAATCAGAAAGGGTTTTGTAGTTTGAATCTTGTGAGGCAGGATCGTAGATGCGCACTACTGAGGAGTCTCATAATAGGACGAAACGTCTGTCCAGTGCTTCCATGTTTTCCATGGTGGTCTAGTTTCAATTGAATGATGATTTCAACAATGAAAATACTGAAATCTCCACAAAATCCCTGATAATAATGAAAATAATAATAATAATAAAATTATTGGGAAAACTATTCGATACCTAATCACTTTGCATAATAAACTAATATTACCAGGGTAGGTTTAAAGAGAGAACAAACTGTTTTTGAATACACAAAGGGGGGTTGAATTTTCGTATGGCTAAGGCTTCAACAAACCTTAGTATACGCCCTTTTTACACTTTTAAACAACACAACAAAAGCTGAGTTTAGATCAATCTTATGACCTGTTTCGATTCTATGTTTGGCAATAGAGGATGATAAATGTTTATCCTCTACTATTATTGGGTCATTTGATTCTATTTCCCATGACAGCATGAACATGGGGGGGGGATCAAACCAAAGGAGATCAAATCAAAGGATATCGAACGAACACTCAATAGTTTATATATAAACAAATGTGTTGAATATATGATCTATCATCCAACTAAATAATTCAATCTTATTAAGTAAGTTAGTTCTAGATAGATTACACGGAGTGCTTTAAAACAATCAATTGTCATAATAAATAAATAAAAGTTTATTCATGATCGATTGATCGGAAAACCTAATAAGTTAAATTAATGGATTGATGAAATGTGAAAATGGGAACCATTTCAATTCAATTTACCATAGTGATAAATGTATTCATAAAGTGGGTAATTCATTTGGTAGTGTAGTGAACGGAAACATAGGTGGGGACAACCATACAGTAAATAATTTATTTGTAAAGTGTTAATCAATTGTCTCAGACTTGTTTGTTCCTTCGTTTCCATACCGATCACTTTCTATTCTCGTTCTTGTCTGTTGAATTTTGTCAACCTTCTGCCACCCGGCATTCTACTTTCAATCGGTGATACATACTACTTATATCTGTTAATTTAAGTAGCACACACCATGGTAATTTTATAAACTTATGTTTAGATAGATTTGGAAGAAAGGTTAATAAATATGAGGAAATATTTTATTCATACTTCAAATAGAATCTTTCTTATCAAGTTGGCTTATAAGCTAACTAATCCTTAAATGAACAAAGTATCGGGAATCTCTCAAAATAATGATGAACAGTTTTATATAAGAAATGCTATAAGATGGTGGTTGAAGGTTGTCGACAGGAAACCCTGGACCCGCGTTTTGTTGAGCACCTGCTGTTGACCACCTCCAATCACCATCTTATCTCAATATAGTGCACGCAGTATCGAGTCACCTAGACTAATGGCCACATTGCATTCGACCAGCACTAAGAAGGACTTGACACGCATGACATTGATCATCACCTAGTGATCAATCAATTGTGAAGTATTGCTATGTTTGAAAAGAATCACTTGAATGTACGAACGGAACGAATACTCAACAATTTAATGACAAAATAACTATTTCGATATATCCCAGCCAAGCAAACTAGAGCGAGAATTCGACATTCAGAAGAGTGGAGTTATATTATACAAGCAGTCAGAAGCACGAACAACGACAAGCACAACTCAAGTATATATCTATACTGCATAAAAATGTCCTTAATAAACGTCACGAAATATAATATTAAAAGAGACAACGAACCAATGACATTTAGGGATCTTCCATGTGGGAAATACAATTTGAAGATAAAAATGGGCACTTATGGAGTAAAAACAAGAACTTCAAGTTTTCAAAATAAAATTACAAAAATAAGACTTTTACTTTGATGGAATATTGTTCTTTGAGCTGAATGGTTTGGTCCTAAAGCTTTCATCGTCCTTCTGAACGACATCATCAGCACATACTTCGGGCAGAAGTGCTGACAATGTTGTTCAGAAGGACAATAAAAGCTCCAGGACCAAACCATTCAGCTCAGAGAACAAAACTCCATCAAAATCATCCACCTTAGCTACAAATCTTCTTCACCATCTCAAGACTTTTACTAAATGAGTTCTTGGGATCTACCATTCCAAACTGGTATATTCAATAAAATGATGAAAACTCATTGATGATATGACACTGAATCAACGGATTAATGCATATCTAGATCGACTTATTCCTATAGAATAATAGTTTTATAAAGCAATATCTTAGTTCAATATTGTTTTATTCCGACAAGAATGATGAAAGCTAACTGTTGTGATCTATTTATGGATCAGTGAGATAGTAAGCCATGCATATTCATATTCCTCTTATTATAAGCTTTAATTTGAACCATAGACTATTATTATACGATTTGCCGTTCTGAAAATATATCCGCTCTATTAATAACAGTCTCTCTCATTCACATCCACTTTCGGCAAGATCTTGTACAAATGTTATTTTTTTATTTTATGATGTAATGTAATCTGTTCGGTTTGTAATATAAACCCAGTATGCTTGAAATACACGATTCATATCGCGGAGGCCGATATTTGTGCTCTTTACTCAACAGGCAAGGCTAAGCAGGAAGAAGGATTGATAATGACTCTAGACTGCTCGTATGGGTATATGCGTTATTGATCTGGTTGATAACTAATTAGGCTAAGCAGAAAGCAGGACTGACAAGTGTACTAGACTGCTCGTACGGGTTTCGTGTGGCATTGGTCCGGTCAATAAATCACTGCTCTCTAGTTGGCGGTATCATTAAGTCATATATTCATAGGGGTACAAGGCCACAATTTATAATAACCACGTAAGAATCTACCTCAAATTTAGTACTGTTGACTATTTCTTCACAATATACAAACTACTTTGTTTTATTTGATATGATACAATACGATACGAGTGTTCTTGTTGTCACGAGCGGCATTATCAGCTAACTCTAAACCTTCTGCAGCCAAATATGCGAGAACCACAGCCAAATAAACTGAAGCACCAGCACCAACTCACTCAGCGTAATTGCTCTTACGTTGAAGGCAATGTACACAACCAACAGGGAACTGAAGACCGGCGCCTGCTGACCTTGTTTTAGCCTTGTTTCGAACCTTACCACCTTTGCCACGTCTACTTATTACTAAAAGAAGCAGAGAAACGCGTTCCTGTAGTACTGTATGATTACTTTATAGATTACATTGGTGTTCTTTAATTAGGAATTACAAAAGATTTGTGTACATTCTACCCTATGTCGAACCATTTATCAAATATATACTATTCTAACCTGAGATTACGTAATTGTTGTTTTTTAATTAGATGACTGCTTTACATTATGCTGCTAAAGAAAACAATGCAGAAGTATTAGATTATTTATTAACATCAAAAGCTAAAATTTTACCGGATAATGATGGTATCTATTTTGTTACATATGCATTACAACGAAGGAATTATGAAACTATGAAAGCGATTGTTACACATTCGCGGTTAGTGAATATTTTTTAAAATTTACTATGATTAGAATGACGTTTTGTGGAAGTACTGAATGGGCTGTTTCATCCTAGTATGGGAATCCTGAAAAGTGCTCATTCACGATCCCTCATATGGGGATTGTGAATCCAAGATCTTCGGACTCAAGCGTGAACGCTTAACCTGTAGACCAGTGAACCGGAGTCTAATGGTGTTGATGTGTAACTTCAATCAATCCACGATATTGTGTGATCGTCCCATACTAGGACGAAACGGCTACCCAGTTCTTTCAGGTTTTTCCATGGTGGTAACATAATGAATTCTCTTTTTAAAGCTATTTTATTCCTAGTTCTCATCAGATCTGATTAATTTACTTTGTCTAATTGGTTGATTTTCTGTCAATTTCACCATAATTTTTAAAATTTGACAAGTATTATTCTCTGATAGGGGTTGAATTCATGAGTCAATTAAAGCTAGGTCACCGCTGAAAACCTGGAAGAATTAAACTACCATTTCATCCTAGTATATGACTTCTGAGAAGTATGCATCTACGATCTCTCATACGGGGTTCAAACTCAGGACAACACAAGATGGTACTGCCTACAGCTCTAATCATACCGAAGTATAGTTATTCTAGAAATATTGATTTATTATTCTGAAGATTTCAGAGCTGTAACTTATTTATAATGGAACAGTATGTTTTTTTCATTAAGCCATCTTACAATCATTATACTATGACTGTTGATCAAGAGTATTCATAATACAGTGCCATCTTTTTTTTCCAACTACCTTGTATGGTTAGTGAAAATTCTGGAGTTCAACCAGGTGTGTTGGGAGATATCAACTCACTGAAGACATTAGTGAATGGTTGCTCGATTTCGTGGATTGCTTGATGTGAGATATTAACACCGTTGAATGCCGGCCGGCCCAATGGTCTAGTGGTTAAGCGCTCTGGCGCGAGACTGATGGCTCCTGGGTTCGAATCTTGCGAGGCTGGATCGTGGATGCCCACTTCTGAGGAGTCCCACAATAGGACGAAACGACCGTCCAGTGCTTCCATGTTTTCCATGGTGGTCTAGCTTCAATTTATTTATGATTTCAACTACATAAAATATGAAGCTGTTTGTATGTTTTTCTTTGCAAAACACTAGAGTACTTTCTAACATACCAAACCAATAAAACACTTTGGGTTTTCTTTTCTCATACTATTCACTACTTCTTACATCGTATTGATGTGTGGACAAGAATGATAATGATTGGTTGTTTCGCTCAGTCAGTCATGTAGATAGTGTGACAGGTGTTATATATGTTATATATATTCCCCTGTCTTGACGTTATTGACTGACTGTTCCTTGTTGTTGGATTGTGTCTGATTTAGGTGTGGAAATAGATTGACGTTCTAGTCAGGTTAATTTCGTGTTCTTGATCTTAGTTGTGTTGGAATCCTGTAGAATAGACACTGGGAGGGAGTCCAGTGTAGATATTCGTATGTGTAAAAAGTGAAAGGAAACCCTAGTGTTATAACAGGCATCCTACCGTTTATAACGTATACAAATGTGAAGTTTCATCATTTCAATTTGTATTCTCTTTATAGTTGGCCAGAATTACATGAAATGTTAGATAATACATCTCAATGCCCTGTGGATGGATTTATACGGAATATGCCATCAATGTGTAAAGTAAGTCAGTCAGAATATACAAAGCGTTATTTTTGGTAGTTAGGTCGTTTCTAAAGGTTTATTTTAGAAATCATGTATTCTAGAAAAATATAAATCAATAAAAGGCACCATTCAACCTCGAAGGAATTCATACCTATAAATGAAATTTAAATCTGTCTAAGATCAGTGCGATACAATTGCACAAGCTAGCGGCTATCAGGATTCAATAGCTAAGATGTTTGGAACGAATGATACTGGGTTCGAATCCCAGAGTGAACATCAATTCTGAGATGAAGGTATATCTAACTGATGAGTCCCAGATAAGATGAAACATGCGTCCTGGATTCCACTGCTAGCCACTATCCAACTTTGCTTATAATGCTTGTGAATTAAGGCTATATCGAGGCAATCCGCATAGGATGCACATATGCCAATAAGAGAGAGACTGATCATTTGCAGTCCTAAATAACAATAGGAACATTCAAGCGAACAATACAAAACGAATTTAATTTATTAAGTTATTTGTAGACAAATTTCATTAAGTTCTATAAGGTGTGTATATTGATGGTAAACTTAAAACGTTTGATGATTATCGTATTAAATTTCGAAAGCGCAGATCATCAAATTCCAAGTTAACAACTGACTTACGATGAAGTTCTCAGGAGCTGCTATGATCATTCATCTTCTTACAGACTGGATCTAGATTGTGTACTTCCATGAAGAGCTGGAACTAACAAAATAACTATTTGATGCTTCTTTATTCTGAAGTGAATTTTAAAGCTGATTTTCTATAGTGGTCAAGATCACTATCATGTACATCTTTGTGATATCCCGAAGAAAATTATGAATGGTAACTTTTGAGGACTATTTACGGACCAATACGATACATATATTTCCGATTGTATAACTGTTAGCTTAACTATACATATTCGTGTCCCTCTTATTATGAGCTTCATTTTGACCCATAGACTATTACTATACGATTTGCCGTTCTCGAGTTATCTTCAGTCTATTAATTACTGTTACCCACATTCACAGCCAAATTTGTCCAAGTCTTGTATAAATGTTATTTTCTGTTTCAGGGTATGATGTGGTCTGTTTGATTGGTATATAAACTCAGTATGTTTGATATATATTGATTCATATTGCAGAGGCTGTTATTGGTGTTCTGGTGTTAACTGGCTGGGCTGGGTATATAGCAGGACCGACAAGTACTCTAGACCACTCGTACGGGTTTCATGTGTCACTGGTCCGATCAATAAATCGCTGCTCTCTAATTGGCGGTTTTATATAGCATACCAGAGAGACCAGTCAAGGACAAAGAAGGAAAGACATTCACTGAGATTCAAAAAAAAGAAAAGATGGACAAAATACTTCGAGGAACTGCTGAATAGGCCAGCTCCATTGAATCCACCTCAGATCGAAGCAGCTCACAATCACCCTCCTATACCTGTCACTCCAACAACGATCGAAGAAGTCAAGATCGCCGTCAGACAAATCAATAATTGGAAAGCGGTAGGACCTGACAATGTACCGGCTGAAGCACTCAAGTCAGACATCAAAGTAACTGCAAACATGCTTCACCTTCTATTAAAGAAGATTTGGGAGGAAGAACATGTGCCAACGGACTGGAAAGAAAGATGCCTCATCAAGATACCAAACAAATGAGATCTGAGCAAATGTGAGAACCACAGGGGCATCGGTTTGTTGTTAGTACCAGGAAACGTTTTCAACGGAACGTTTCTGAACCGGATGAAAGACGCAGTAGACGCCGAACTTAGAGATCAACAGGCTGGATTCCGTAAGGATAGGTCGTGCAAAGACCAGATTGCGACACTACGGATCATTGTAGAACAATCAGTTGAGTGGAACTCATCACTATACGTCAACTTCATTGACTATGAGAAGGCGTTTGACAGTGTAGACAGGAGAAAATTATGGAAACTTCCTCGACACTATGGAGTTCCTGAAAAGATTGTCAACATTATCCAAAACTCATACGATGGACTACAGTGCAAAGTCATGCATGGAGGACAGTTGACAGATGCATTTCCTGTAAGGACCGGAATCAGACAAGGCTGTCTACTCTCTCCATTCCTCTTCCTTCTGGTGATTGACTGGATTATGAAGACTTTGACATCTGAGGGGGAATACGGAATAAAATGAATATCTCAGAATCAATTAGACGATTTTAACTTATCAGATGACCTATCCCTCCTCTCTCATACACAAACAAATACAGACAAAGACAGTAAATGTAGCAGGCGCCTCCGAATCGATAGGCCTCCACATTCACAAGGGAAAAAGCAGGATTCTCAAATGCAACACGGAGAACACCAACCCAATCACACTTGATGGCGAAACTCTGGAAGAGGTGGAAACATTCAAGTATCTGGGGAGCATCGTTGATAAACAAGGAGGATCGGATGCAGATGTAAGGGCGAGGATTGGCAAAGCAAGGGCAGCATTTTTACAATTGAAGAACATATGGAACTCAAAACAACTTTCAACCAATTCAAAGGTCAGAATCTTTAATACGAACGTCAAGACAGTCCTACTGTATGGAGCTGAAACGTGGAGAACTACTACGGCCATCCTCAGGAAGGTACAAGTATTTATAAACAGTTGTCTACGCAAAATACTCAACATCCATTGGCCGGATATTATTAGCAACAGCGTTTTATGGGAGAAGACTAACCAGCTTCCAGCTGAAGAGGAAATAAGGAAAAGACGTTGGAAGTGGATCGGATTTACATTAAGGAAATAATCAAAATGCATCACGAGGCAATCTCTAACTTGGAATCCGGAAGGGAAGCGGAAAAGAGGAAGGCCAAAGAATACACTACGCCGGGAAATAGAAGCAGACATCAAAAGAATGAATGTTAACTGGAAAGAACTGGAAAGGAAGGCTCAGGACAGAGTTGGATGGAGAATGTTGGTGAGCGACCTATGCTCCACGACGAGGGTAACGGGCTTAATTATGCAAGTAAGTAAGTAATAATATCATTTAAATACTTGTTTATACATGGAAACATTGATTGTTAAACTGATATAAAAGAGTCTTTACAAAAGGTATAACAGTTTCTTCATTGTTTTTATGATAGCTTGTTTTGGATCGGTGTATTAAAGAAATTGGAACGAAAAATACTCCTGATCATAAAGTGAGTTAAGTGTTATATATTTCATTTTAAGGGGTTTTTTGTTTAGGGGTTAGCTTCTTTAAATACAACTTTTGCAGATGTTCCTTGGAAGGTACTCATTTTTAATAGGTTCTTTATGGGGTACTGTTACGGAGGTAGTCGTTTTAGTACGAATAGCTTAAGTGTGTCTTCTTAAAGTTTATTAACATTCCACGTTTACGATGAAAACTGTCGTCATTCTTTGTTAGAAGTTTCTTTTCGGTCGTTGTAAAAAAAACTTCATAAATGTGGCTTTCAAGAAGACGAATCATGTTCGCACATTTAGGATTGATAAATGAACTGTCGATTCGATATTTAAGCAGCTCCTGATAACTATTGGGCTTAAACTGCATGACATCTTCAACATAAAAGAGAAAGCGTATCATGCTGAAAGAACACGCTACTTCAAAGTTATTTTGTGCACACAAAAATCAGGGTATTTAAAATGTTATATACAATCCTAGTATTCTGGAAATTTCTGAAACCATACTAAATATAGTAGCAACATAGATAAATATCCAATAAGAAACGCGACTCATAACTGTTCACTTTATAGATGTTTTTGAGAAGTATCTATTCAACGCTGATGAGATAGCGTTTCTCATGGTTTTCTGGACCACAATAGACTTTTCCAAAAAATACTTTGGAACTCCCTAACAGTTCCATCCGGAGCTCCTATGGTCAGAAAATTTGATCATTCATCAACTATTAGCACAAAATATTATAATGGGATGGAATATGTCATCATGAATCAACATTCAACAAAATATGAAATCTTATAGTTGAAACCATGAATCCATTGAAGCTACACTACCATGGAAAACCTAGAATCGCTGAACGGTTAAGCGCTTGCGAGCGAGAGGGATAGGTCCTGGGTTCGAATCGTGGATGTGCACTGTTAAGGAGTCTCATATTAGGAGGAAACGACCGTCCAGGGCTTCCAAGTTTCCCATGGTGGTCTAGCTTCAGTTGATTCATGATTTCAACTATAAAATTACTAAAATCTCCACAAAACCCCCTTCTGATAAATATCTTCACATTTTTATAAAGATAACATTTAAATAGATTCAATACCTTTAAACTGTTCTATACTGTAGATATTTTATGACTTTTCAATACTTCAACGACCCATGAATCCTACTGAAAAACCACCACAGGATCCTATGAAACGTATCAAGGTAAACATAAATTTCTTAATGTATCTATTTATGTAGGATAGTGATTAGATTTTTTTCTAAATACACATGGTATTGTTTATTTGAAACTTCACATCGATGTTTAGGACTGAAATTGGTCAGTCTCTTATTAGCATATGTGCATACTGTGCGTATTTCATCGATATTGTCTTACTTCACAAGCATTATAAGCAATCATGGATAGAGGCTGGCAGTGGAATGAAGTTTGACACACGTTTCGTTTTCAGTAGCTTAGTGAATAACTCGATGGCGTTTAAAGCGAAAGTAGTGGGTTCGAGTTTCAGAGTGAACATCAATTCTGAGATATAGGTACATCCAGCTGATGAGTCCCAAGTAAGACGAAACGCACGTCCCGGATACCACTGCTAGCCACCATCCATCTCTTTGATAATAATGTTATTTTTTATAGTTACATAACCATTATCTGACTGTAATATAATGGAATTGTTTATGATGTAGAACGAAATATAGATTCTTCTTCAATCGTATATGTTCTGTCAACAAGTCGTGCTAATTACAATGGGAGTATAAATTAATGAATATAGGGATGTGTTTTGGATGATTATATATCATATATTCATTTAGGTAGATAGATGAAGAGGTAAGAAGTGTAGAAGGCATCAATATCTACTAAAAATACTACTCATTACAAGTGGTACAAGGGTATGAATATAGGGGGTATATGTAATAAATTTATTTTTATTTATTTATTTGAACAAATAAATATTGGTAAAAAGGGGCACGGAATACATATTCGTCACACAAGTCACTTGAATTGTGTGTGGCCCAGGATACTGCTCGAGTGTCTAGATCGAGCAAATTGTGGGCCTTGACCTGAAGTCTTCGAGCTAAAGGTCTGATTCACAAAGGAATGGAGCAACTTTAAGACATGCAGTCCCATGGTAGTCGTTGACCAACAATTGTTTCATATGCCATTTGTTCCCTCAGGATTCTGGAGCCTATGTGCACCATTAGTTTGGAATCAAAGTTTTTCAACTCCCCTAGGTGGAATTTCCGTGTCCACTGAGTTGATTAAAGCACTCAACATTCGCTTTTCATCTTCTCAATTTCGTGAGTAGGCAATGAGTAGGATTTTCCTGACAGTAACTATTTACGCATGACCATGTGAGACCATTTGGAGAAGAAGAGATGACTCTCCTTACCCTCAGTACTACCAGAGCATTTTGGGGTATATGTAAAGAAAATCATAACTTTATATAGAAAATGAAGTTATATGTAGTTCAATAACTCAAGATTAATTATAAGTTAAACGGTTCTTACTCCATTGACCTTTTAATCACAGAGTAAAAGTAAATAGTTCCATTATCAAAGATTATCGGTCTATTCACTACAAAGGAAATAATTATTAAAGGGTAGCTAACTGTAACTGTAATCCTCTCTCATACACACGACCAAATGCAGATGAAGACAGCAAATGTAGCAGCAGCCTCCGCATCGATAGGTCTCCACATTCACAAAGGAAAAAGCAAGATTCTCAAATGCAACACGGAGAACACCGACCCAATCACACTTGATGGCGAAACTCTGGAAGAGGTGGAAACATTCAAGTACCTGGGGAGCATCGTTGATAAACAAGGAGGATCGGATGCAGATGTAAAGGCAAGGATTGGCAAAGCAAGGGCAGCATTTCTACAATTGAAGAACATATGGAACTCAAAACAACTCTCAATCAATTTCAAGGTGAGAATCTTTAATACGAACGTCAAGACAGTCCTACTGTATGGAGCTGAATCGTGGAAAACTACTGCGGCCATCATCAGGAAGGTACAAGTATTTATAAACAGTTGTCTACGCAAAATACTCAACATCCATTGGCCGGATATTATTGGCAACAGCGTTTTATGGGAGAAGACTAACCAGCTTCCAGCTGAAGAGGAAATAAGGAAAAGACGTTGGAAGTGGATCGGATTTACATTAAGGAAATAATCAGAACGCATCACGAGGCAATCTCTTACTTGGAATCCGGAAGGGAAGCGGAAAAGAGGAAGGCCAAAGAACACACTACGCCGGGAAATAGAAGCAGACATCAAAAGAATGAATGTTAACTGGAAAGAACTGGAAAGGAAGGCTCAGGACAGAGTTGGATGGAGAATGTTGGTGAGCGGCCTATGCTCCTCGACGAGGGGTAACAGGCGTAAGTAAGTAAGTAAGTAAGTAAGCTAACTGTAAAATGAGTTGAATATTTGAAGCAAAAGATAATGATTTCAAATGTGAATGTTAATATCAATACTGAAGTACAGATACATTCAGCTTAATAAAGTACATTCTAAATTTCATCATTGAACTTTAACAAAACATATAAAATTCATATTTGTATTGTTTGTATGAATCTTTGCATTGATATTTAGAACTGTAGCTGATAAGTTTCTGATTTTACAAGCTAGTAACTGTATGAACTTAGTAGATAAGTGGAAAATTTAATGATTTTTAAAATAGACGGTAATGAGTTCGAGTCCCGGAGTGAATATCAACTCTTGGGTAAAAAAATACATTTCAGCTGACGAATTCTAGATGGGACGAACCAAGAGTGTTGGATTCTATTGTTAATCATTGTATAAAGGATATAGTTGTACATTTGATTATATTAAACCCATTTAATAATATTTACTTTTGTTTTGTTTTTTTTTAGTTAATGGTCGAGTTGAAACGTGAAGAGTTATTAATTCATCCACTTTGTAAAGCTTATTTAGAAAGAAAATGGTAATGATAATCAAAATCATTTTTAAATATTGTTCAATAATGTTTAAACCAATTGATTTTATATCATTCACTGTTCTTTCTTAATTGAGATCATGAAAATATTGATTTCGGAACCGCGATTGAGAACCTGAAAACCCTGGACGACTATTTCGTCCTATTACGGAACTCCTCAAAAGTGCGCATTCATGATCTCGCTAACGGGATCAGGACCCTCATTGTCGCACGCAAACGCCTAACTTGTAGACCACTGAGCCGAAACCCAATGATGTTAATGTCTAATCTCAACCAATCTACGAAATTGTGCGACCATCTTCCATTGTAATGAGGTAGATACCTATCTCCGCTTATCATAACTTTTCACTAAAACTCCAAGAAGTCTTTCACGAAGCTAGTCACTAATGATTACTGTTCTTTTCCCTTAAGATATACCTCATAGAACAGCATAAGCCGTCCACCAGCATTCTCTATCAACTTGTATCCTGAACAATACTTTCCAGCTACTATTCATCCTTTTGATGTCTCCTTGCAATTCCCAAGCATATGTGTTTTTTGGTCCTCCTCTTTTCTGTTCCTCCTCAGCATTCCAAGTCAATGCTTGTTTCGTGATGAAGTGTAAACACATTATCATCTTAGTCGCCAAGAATGTTCTCTAATAGTTTTTTGATTAAAAGTAACAAGAATTCAGGTCTGTTGGGAGATATTAACTCACTGAAGACATTGGTGAATGGTTGCTCAATTTCGTGGATTGCTTGAAGTTAGACACTAACACCGTTGGATGCCGATCGTCTCAGTGGTTTATCGATTAAGTGCTCGCGCGTGAGAGGGATATGTCCTAGGTTCGTAACTCGTTAGGCAGGATCGTAAATGCGCACTGCTGAGGAGTCCCACAATAGGACGATTTGGTTGTCCAGTGTTTCCAGCTTCAATGGACTCATGATCTCAACTATATAAAATTACTAAAATCTCCACGAAACCCTCTTCTGATAACCATCATTGAAATGTTTATGGATTGTTGAAGTGATCTTATCATAATAACATTATACTTTTCACAAACCCGACTGAATAGGTAATGAAACTAATAAACATAATGATGTATTTAAACAAACAAGAAAACAGATAATTTGTTGAATTAATCAGATGACAGGAACAGATGGCCTAGATATTCAAGAAGGTCACCATGTAGAAGAACATTAATGAACTCTTATTTTATTCCTCTGAATGAATTTAATCAATAAATTGATTGATTATTATTGTTACTATGATTAATTTTAATGAAAGGCAAACTTATGGACGTTGGGTTCAATTATGTGTTAGTGTTTATTATGCTGTATTATTATTGGCAATTACATGTTTGGTTTTGGGTCATAATCCAATACATCATATAGAGAATGTTCACAATATATCCAATTGTACTGAATTGGTAAGTTAAAAATATAAAAATTATTTTTATATTTTTGTAAACTGTTTTATATTAAAAGTGTCCACTGACCCGGTTAAAGATTCGCTTTTCATCCTCTCAATTTCTTAAAGAACATTAATTTCACGAGTAGGCAGTGAGTAGGACTTCCCTGGCAGAGGCCATATAAGCGTGGCTATGTGAGAGGATTTCGAAAGGGAGAGATGACTCCCCTCACTCTCAGCCGTACTAGGCCTGATTGAATTAAAAGATTATTTCTATATTGTAAACAAGGTATACAGATGACTAAGTCTGGTTCATTTTTATTTGAACAGAAATCTTATGGTAGATTTGTTAAGAATGAGAACAAAGGTCGGGAAAACTGATTGTGTGTTCAGATACATCATTATATAATCACTTGATAAAATATAAGATAAATACACTGACTGCTTCATTTGCGAAATTCCACTATTTGTCTTTCATATCTTTCTATGTAATTCTTTCAAATTGCAGTTGCTTCCTATTTCTGTTTCTGTTTTCTTCAAGTCAACGTTCATAGCCTTCTGTTGTCCGGTCTTCCATTTCCGATTGGTGTTACATACTACTTATGTTTGTCGATATAAGTAACATACATCACAGCCTGTTACTCCCCAACGGAGCATTAACCACTGATCAGCATTCTCCAACCCACTCTGTCCTGAGCCTTCTTTTCTAGTTCTATGCAACTTTTGTTCATTCTTCTCATGTAGGTCTCCATTTCTAGGCGTAATTTGTCCTTTCTTCTTCCTCTTCTCCTATGGCCTTCAGGATGTCATATGAGGGCTTGCTATGTGACGCAGTTGGTTGCTTTTCTCAATATGTGTCATATCCGCTCCCAGCACTTCTTCCTGATTTCTTCCTCCACTAGAATTTAGTTTGTTCTCGATCGCAGTACGTTGTTACTCATAGTGTCTGCTAAACGAATCCGAAGCATTTTGCTTAGACATCGGTTAATAAACACTAGTATCTTCTTTATGATGGCTTTCGTAGTTCGTCAAGTTTCCGTCCCATACAATAGACTCGTCTTCACATTTCCATTGAAAACTATGACTTTGGTGTTGGTTTTGAGTTCCATATGTTATTCAATTGTAGATTTGCTGCTCTTGCTTTACCGATCCCCGTCTACATATCTGCATCAGATCCTTCGTGTTCATCAATGATGCTACCGGATATGTAAATGTTTTTACATCCTCCAAAGCTTCTCCATGTATGTGTGATTCGGTCGATGCATTTCGTGTTGTATCAGAGAATCTTCCTTTTCCATTTGTATATATTGAGACCCACTGCTGCTGATGCTACTTTTACAATGGTCGTCCTCTGCACTTGTTGTTACGTGTGTGATAGAAGAGCCAGATCATCTGCGAAGTCTAAATAGTCCATCTGCATCCTAGCTATCCCCTTTATCCCAGATGTCGATGTCTTCATGATCCAGTCGATCACCAGGAGAAAGAGAAATTATGAGAGTAAGCAACCTTGACTGACACTGATCTTTACCTCGAAAGAGTCTGTCAACTGTCATCCATGCAAGACTTCGCAGTTTAATCCATCACAGGAATTCCGTATGATATTGACTATTTTCCCACGCACGCCGTAGTGTCGAAGAAGCCTCCATAGTGTTGCCCTGTTCACGCTATCAAACGATTTCTCGTAGTCAATGAAGTTGATGTAGAGTGATGAATTCCATTCAATTGATTTTTTCACAATGATCGGTAATGTTGCCATTCGGTCAGTACACGATCGGTCCTTGCGGAATCCAACCTGTTGGTCTCGGAGTTGAGCGTCTACGGAGTCCTTCATTTGTTTAACAACACCCTATTGAAGACTTTTCCTGGTATTGTGAGAAGACTGATGCCTCTGTAATTCTCACACCTGCTAGATCGCCTTTCTTTGGTATTTTGATGAGGTATCCTTCTTTCCAGTTTGTTGGTACTTGTTCTTCACCCCAAACCTTGCTAAAATGAATGTGGAGTATCTTTGCAGTTGCTGCTACATTTGCTTCCAGTACCTCTGCCGGGATATTGTCTGGTCCCGCTGCTTTGCCGATCTTGATTTGTCTAATGGCCATGCTGATTTTTGAATTGTTGGCGGGCTAACATTGGTTGGGAGGTCCTTGAGTGCTGCTTCGATGTTGGGTGGGTTCAGTGGAGTTGGTCGATTCAAGAGTTCTTTGAAGTGTTTTACCCACCTGTTTCGTTGTTCTTCAATGTCGGTGATTACTTTGCCTTCCTTGCTTTTCACTGGTCTTTCTGGCTTACTGTAATTTCCAGCAAGTTTCTTTGTTGTATCATACAGTTGTCTGATATTTCCTCTTCTGGCAGACTTTTCTGCTGTCATTACTAGATCTTCCATATATTTACGTTTGTCGGTTTTGATGCTCCTCTTCACTTGCTTGGTTACTTCTGTGTATTCTGCTTGTGCCTTGGCTTTCTCTACTCTTGTTCTGCTAGTAATGATTGCTGCCTTCTTGTTCCTCCTTTCTTAAATCTTATCCAGTGTATCAACAGTGATCCATTCCTTGTGGTGATAATTTATATGACCTAGAACCTCCTGACGTGTTTAAGTGATTGCTTCCTTGATCCGATTAAATATTTTCTCCATGGTAGTTCCCTCTCCATTGAGTAGATCGTGAAAGGCCTGTAACTTAATGCTGAGGTCAACTTTAAATTTATTGAGTCTGTCAGTATCTTGAAGAAAAACCATATTAAACTTTTGTGATGTTGTCCGCCCCGTTGTCCAGTGCTTCTTAATTTTTAATTTCATCTTGGCAACCAGCAAGTGATGATCTGATGCTATATCAGTTCCTCTCCTGGTTCTCATATCCTCCATCTTCCTTCTGAACTTTGTATTGATGAAGATATGGTCGACTTGGATCTGTGTAGTGTGATCCGGTGAATTCCATGTAGATTTGTGTATGCGTTTATGTGGGGATATAGTGCCGCCTATGACCAGTTTGTTGAAAGCACATAGGTTTTCGAATCTCTCACCACTTTCGTTCCTTTCTCTTAGTCTATTTCGTCCTATGATCTCTTCATATCCTATGTTGTCCATTCGAATCATTTAGGTCTCCCATCAGAATAGTCAAGTCTTTTGTAGGAAATTTCCCAAAGATTGACTGTAGCCTACAGTAGAATTGATCTTTAACGTCCTCATTGTAATCGTTGGTAGGCATATAGCATTGGATGACATTCATTCTAATACCCTCTCTCATTGTTCTGAAGGAGGTTTCGATGATCTTGTATCTATGAGATTCCCATCCTATAAGTGCTTTTTGTGCCTGTTTGGATAGCATCAGAACAATGCCTTGTGTATGTGGGACATTTTCTTTTTCATGACCGAAGTATAACGGTAGCTCCCGTGAAGCTAGTCGTTGTTGTCCAACCTGCGTCCAATTTGTTTCACTATTCCCAAGCACCGGCAGTAACCCTAGAGGGGCTTCAGGACTCTATAGCTTAGTGAATAACGCAATAGCATTAGAAACGAACGATACTGGGTTCCAGTCTCAGTGTGAATATCAATTCTGAGATTCAGGTACATCCAGCTGACGAGTCTCAAATGAGACAAAACGCACATCTTGGATTCCATTACTAGCCAATATCCATGTTTGCTTAGAATTCTTGTGACTGAAGACAATATCGAGGTAGTTCGCACAGTATGTCAATATGCCTAAAAGAGACTGATCAATGAGACGATTCAAGTAAACAATACCAAGTGATGATTAATATTGTTATTATAGAGATTTGTTTTAAACACAATTTAAGCAAAACTATCGTTAAAGATTGTCGGGTTAATATTTTAATGATACAATTGTTTAGCATAACTAAACGTATTCATCTATTAACATACATTGAATTATGTTGAGTTATCATTAATATGAGTTATTATTCAAAAATGTTTAAGGATAGTTGATAAGATTTCTAGCTCAGGTGGATGATTTTGATGGAGTTTTGTTCTCTGAGCTAGATGATATGGTTGTGGAGCTTTCATCGACGTCCTACTGAACGACATCATCAGCACAGACTTCTGGTAGAAGTGAAGTGTTTGACAGGAACCAATCAACATCGAGGTGTAGAGGACAAGCTGTGAACAACATGTGAAGAAATTTAAAAACATTTCACTATCCAGCTCATTGTTGAAGAGTCCCATACTAGAACGAAACAATTATCTAATGCTTTCGGGTTTACCATAATGATCTAGCTTCAATTGGTTCATGAATTCAATTAATAAATTACTATAATATCCACCCCCTTCCCCTCCCCCAAGAAAATTCCCACTTTCTGAGTAGGGATTAAAGTAATTGTCCCTTTTTTTTTAAAAATGTTTTCTATACAATTTAGTTTTATGAAACACCAACAAGAATGTATGTCTTTTCAACGATTGCTTCAATCATATTAGTTCTTACAGCATTTGACTTATGTATTAAAATATGGCAACTATTAACTCAGGTAAATCATATTTTATATTAATGATTGTTTAAGTTTGTATAAATTTATAAAGTAACTAGGTAAGGGTTGAGGGGGGGGGTTAGGGAGATTCATTTGGATACAATTTACTTTATAGATTAAACTCATTATGAATAACTAAAATAACAGTTGGTGATTGTCCTATGTTTTTTATAGAATTTCTTCATTATACATAACTTAAGGATATCGTGCAGTAACATTAACAGTAACATAGTTCTTTAAAGAATGGGATGATTAGCAAACAGAGACATCAGTTTGTTACTTATCAATAAGTAGATATTTCAATTGGAATAATTTCCACAATTCACCTATCTAGATTTGAAACATGTTAGTTCGAATCTCGCAAGGCTAGATCGTAGATGACGATTCTAACAATAGGACGAAATCGCCATCCAGTACTTCTAGGTTCTTTATGGTAGTTTAGCTCTAATTGACTCATGATCTCAACTATTGAAATTGCTATAATATTCACAAAAACCCCTTCTCATATTAATTAACATATGTTCACTAGTGACTGGTTTCAAGAGGTACAACCTGGAGTTCTAGTGAGAAGCAGTGACCAGTGGAGTTCAAACAAGTCTATTGTTAGATAGTAACTCACTGAAGACAATGGTGGACAGTGGCTCAATTTCGTGGATTGGTTGGTGTTAGACAATAACACCGTTAGATGTCGGCTTAGTGGTCTAGAGGTTGGGCACTCATGCACAAGTCTGATAGGTCCTTGGTTTGAATCTCGTGAGGCGGGTTAGTGGATGCGCACTGCTGAGGAGTCCCACAATAGGAAGATACGGTCATCCAGTGCTTCAAGGTTTTCAATGCAGATCTAGCTTCAATTGAATTATGATCTCAACTATGTATAAATCAATGATTTATTTCAATTAATCTGGTTGACGTTTTTAATTGACAAGATTTTTTTCTACGAGATCAGATTACCGACTCTATACCCAACCCTCATCCTCTTTTATCCGGGCTTGAGACTGGTAGTAACTCTAGAAGATATAGAGGTGGAGTAATTTTGGCGAGAGTATAATTTATGGACGACCTTTGAAAGAATCTTGAATGATCCTGAGAAATATTAGCCAGTCAGTAAACAGTCAGCATAGAGTAAACATATATATTATGCAAAACCAAAGAATTATAGTGGATACACATCTTTTATATCATCCAAAAACTTGTCAAGGTTAGAAAGAGGTTCCAAGGTTTTAAAATCGTAATGCATAAGATAGAGGAAATCATCCATATGGCTCCATAATACTCAGTCTCTGGAGCCATGATAAGGTCACAAAAACCTTCTCGGTCTACACCACATTGCTTCAATATTGTTTTTGTGCACTCCGGTTGTGTAAATTTATCATTTTTATTATGGATGTGTCCCTACAATACTCATACCACTGAATAGACGAAGTTTCAGTGATATATATTATTACTGCAGCCAATTTAGCTGGTGCTTTAATCATATAGTTCGTGGCGATTATTATAATTTACCTTAGTCTCAATCTGGATCGAGCGAAAAAGGTTCCTATTCTAGTAAACGCCTTCCTTCAATATATATTACATCGAAGAACAATATCACGATAGTCTACACAAAGTCTACAAGTCATTTGATAACTCCAATTTCAAATAAACGAACTTGCTAATAATGTGACTTATTGCAACCGCTTATTTGTCACGCGTTCCCTAAAATCCCCTGTTAACCGATCGTACATAAACACCAGGTACTGAAATTGGCGCCGTGACCTTGAAATCCCTCAGACTATTCTGATTGTCTAATCCACAAAATTATAGTCTCGCCATTTTTTTTAAATTTCATTATGAATCAATATTTTCAGAAGGGGATTTGTGGAGATTTTAGTATTTTTCAATGTTGAAATCATGAGTCAATTGAAGCTAGACCACCATCAACAACCTGAACGTGCTGAACGGTCGTTTCGTCCTACTATGGGACTCCTCAACAGTGCTGAGGAATAACTGACTTCAAGATACATGTCCTGTAGTTCTAGTGTGAAACAGTGACCAATGAAGTTCAACCATATCTGTTATAAGATAACAACTCACTGAAGGCAATTGTTGAATAGTCGTTCATAATTTGTGGATCAGTTGAAGTTAAACATTAACATTATTGAACATCAACTGGCTCAGTGGTCTATTAGTTTAAATCTCTTGATTAACACTGATAAATCCTGGATTCAAATCTTGTGAATACAGAATTGTGAATATGCATTGTCATTGAGGTCGTCCCATTACAGGACGAAACAATTGTCCAATGCTTCTAAGTTGACAATAGTGTTCTAACTTCAATTGATTTATGATTTCAACATTGAAAAATCAATATTTTATTGATTAATTTTTTTTCTCTTTTTTTTCTTTTTTCTCTTTTTTTCTCTTTTTTTTCTTTTTTTCTAAAATATAGAAATATGAATATTTTAAAGATTGGAATAATTATTTAGAATTTATATTAAATACATTAGCAATGTCTTATTCAGCATTAACATTAAACAATCAATTAAATTATAATTATATTGAATTAGGTGTAATTGTAATGTTTTTAGCCTGGTTCAATTTTCTATTACAAATGATGAGGTAAATTATTTGTTTGTTTTGTTTTTCTTTTTGTTTTTGTTTTTCTTTTTGTTTTTGTTTTTCTTTTTGTTTTTGTTTTTTTTCTTCTTCTTTTATAATTCAAATTTAATTCATTGAAATTTACCAGTATTAGTTTTGTTTAATTCATCCTAATAACTTTCAAGTTATATTTATATAGAAACTTGAATGTAAGTGAGAAATATAAAAGAAATGATTGATTACAAACGAATCAATTAGAAGAGTCTGAAAGAATTCATGATCATAGTGTGGTATTGTCTACTTATATCTATATAAGTAGTATATGGTGTGGATCAGGCATAGAATGTATTTTCGTAGATGACCGATGACGAAAGAACTGAAACGAAGCGCAATCGGTAGGAAAATGTACGAACAATGGAATTAGAGAAGAAACAATGAAGATCGAGACTATTGGTTGATAATTTACAAATTGACTGTACATTGTATGGTTTTCAGAATTTATTGAGATAGTCTGTAATTTTTGCTTAAATACATTCGATTGTCCCCAACTAGTGTTTTGTTCACTACATTTGGTGTCGCTGCCAACCAGGAGGAGGTAGGGTGCTGTTCTGCAGACGCCGTTGTGGGTCTGGAGTGGAGGTGCTAGTTGGGGCAGTCTGGTGAGGAGAGGTGGCGTCGAGTGGAGTGTTTTGGCGAGGCGGCGTTGGCTGTAGTGAGTTCTGTCGACGGAGAGGAGCAGTGGGACGTGCGGCTGCTGAGCGGACATCGGATGTAGATGGCTCGGCAGGCCGGTGGAGTACGGGTGTTGAACGTCCCAGGTGTCGGGTGGATGCGGATGTTGATGCCCCGGTAGGTCGACTGATCTATGGAGGTCAGCGCGCCGCAGACTCGACATTCTGGCGGAGAGTTTGACACAGACTGCAGTGAAAGAAGATAGTGGCGTGGCGAGCAGAACCACCGCATGAACGAATGCTTTAAAGGGGGGACGAGTGTGGTGTGGTCTACTTATATCTATATAAGTAGTATATGGTGTGGATCAGGCATAGAATGTATTTTCGCAGAAGACCGATGACGAAAGAACTGAAACGAAGCGCAATCGGTAGGAAAATGTACGAACAATGGAATTAGAGAAGAAACAGTGAAGATCGAGACTAATGGTTGTTAATTTACAAATTGACTGTACATTGTATGGTTTTCAGAATTTATTGAGATAGTCTGTAATCTTTGATTAAATACATTCGATTGTCCCCAACCAGTGTTTTGTTCACTACATTTGGTGTCGCTGCCAACCAGGAGGAGGTAGGGTGCTGTTCTGCAGACGCCGTTGTGGGTCTGGAGTGGAGGTGCTAGTTGGGGCAGTCTGGTGAGGAGAGGTGGCGTCGAGTGGAGTGTTTTGGCGAGGCGGCGTTGGCTGTAGTGAGTTCTGTCGACGGAGAGGAGCAGTGGGACGTGCGGCTGCTGAGCGGACATCGGATGTAGATGGCTCGGCAGGCCGGTGGAGTACGGGTGTTGAACGTCCCAGGTGTCGGGTGGATGCGGATGTTGATGCCCCGGTAGGTCGACTGATCTATGGAGGTCAGCGCGCCGCAGACTCGACATTCTGGCGGAGAGTTTGACACAGACTGCAGTGAAAGAAGATAGTGGCGTGGCGAGCAGAACCACCGCATGAACGAATGCTTTAAAGGGGGGACGAGTGTGGTGTGGTCTACTTATATCTATATAAGTAGTATATGGTGTGGATCAGGCATAGAATGTATTTTCGCAGAAGACCGATGACGAAAGAACTGAAACGAAGCGCAATCGGTAGGAAAATGTACGAACAATGGAATTAGAGAAGAAACAGTGAAGATCGAGACTAATGGTTGTTAATTTACAAATTGACTGTACATTGTATGGTTTTCAGAATTTATTGAGATAGTCTGTAATCTTTGATTAAATACATTCGATTGTCCCCAACCAGTGTTTTGTTCACTACATTTGGTGTCGCTGCCAACCAGGAGGAGGTAGGGTGCTGTTCTGCAGACGCCGTTGTGGGTCTGGAGTGGAGGTGCTAGTTGGGGCAGTCTGGTGAGGAGAGGTGGCGTCGAGTGGAGTGTTTTGGCGAGGCGGCGTTGGCTGTAGTGAGTTCTGTCGACGGAGAGGAGCAGTGGGACGTGCGGCTGCTGAGCGGACATCGGATGTAGATGGCTCGGCAGGCCGGTGGAGTACGGGTGTTGAACGTCCCAGGTGTCGGGTGGATGCGGATGTTGATGCCCCGGTAGGTCGACTGATCTATGGAGGTCAGCGCGCCGCAGACTCGACATTCTGGCGGAGAGTTTGACACAGACTGCAGTGAAAGAAGATAGTGGCGTGGCGAGCAGAACCACCGCATGAACGAATGCTTTAAAGGGGGGACGAGTGTGGTGTGGTCTACTTATATCTATATAAGTAGTATATGGTGTGGATCAGGCATAGAATGTATTTTCGCAGAAGACCGATGACGAAAGAACTGAAACGAAGCGCAATCGGTAGGAAAATGTACGAACAATGGAATTAGAGAAGAAACAGTGAAGATCGAGACTATTGGTTGATAATTTACAAATTGACTGTACATTGTATGGTTTTCAGAATTTATTGAGATAGTCTGTAATTTTTGCTTAAATACATTCGATTGTCCCCAACTAGTGTTTTGTTCACTACATTTGGTGTCGCTGCCAACCAGGAGGAGGTAGGGTGCTGTTCTGCAGACGCCGTTGTGGGTCTGGAGTGGAGGTGCTAGTTGGGGCAGTCTGGTGAGGAGAGGTGGCGTCGAGTGGAGTGTTTTGGCGAGGCGGCGTTGGCTGTAGTGAGTTCTGTCGACGGAGAGGAGCAGTGGGACGTGCGGCTGCTGAGCGGACATCGGATGTAGATGGCTCGGCAGGCCGGTGGAGTACGGGTGTTGAACGTCCCAGGTGTCGGGTGGATGCGGATGTTGATGCCCCGGTAGGTCGACTGATCTATGGAGGTCAGCGCGCCGCAGACTCGACATTCTGGCGGAGAGTTTGACACAGACTGCAGTGAAAGAAGATAGTGGCGTGGCGAGCAGAACCACCGCATGAACGAATGCTTTAAAGGGGGGACGAGTGTGGTGTGGTCTACTTATATCTATATAAGTAGTATATGGTGTGGATCAGGCATAGAATGTATTTTCGCAGAAGACCGATGACGAAAGAACTGAAACGAAGCGCAATCGGTAGGAAAATGTACGAACAATGGAATTAGAGAAGAAACAGTGAAGATCGAGACTAATGGTTGTTAATTTACAAATTGACTGTACATTGTATGGTTTTCAGAATTTATTGAGATAGTCTGTAATCTTTGATTAAATACATTCGATTGTCCCCAACCAGTGTTTTGTTCACTACATTTGGTGTCGCTGCCAACCAGGAGGAGGTAGGGTGCTGTTCTGCAGACGCCGTTGTGGGTCTGGAGTGGAGGTGCTAGTTGGGGCAGTCTGGTGAGGAGAGGTGGCGTCGAGTGGAGTGTTTTGGCGAGGCGGCGTTGGCTGTAGTGAGTTCTGTCGACGGAGAGGAGCAGTGGGACGTGCGGCTGCTGAGCGGACATCGGATGTAGATGGCTCGGCAGGCCGGTGGAGTACGGGTGTTGAACGTCCCAGGTGTCGGGTGGATGCGGATGTTGATGCCCCGGTAGGTCGACTGATCTATGGAGGTCAGCGCGCCGCAGACTCGACATTCTGGCGGAGAGTTTGACACAGACTGCAGTGAAAGAAGATAGTGGCGTGGCGAGCAGAACCACCGCATGAACGAATGCTTTAAAGGGGGGACGAGTGTGGTGTGGTCTACTTATATCTATATAAGTAGTATATGGTGTGGATCAGGCATAGAATGTATTTTCGCAGAAGACCGATGACGAAAGAACTGAAACGAAGCGCAATCGGTAGGAAAATGCACGAACAATGGAATTAGAGAAGAAACAGTGAAGATCGAGACTATTGGTCGTTAATTTGCAAATTGACTGTACATTGTATGGTTTTCAGAATTTACTGAGATAGTCTGTAATGTTTGCTTAAATACATTCGATTGTCCCCAACTAGTGTTTTGTTCACTACAATAACATCAATTCATATCAACTTTGATGGTGTATTATTCACTGAGTTGGATGATTTGGTCTTGAAGCTTTCATTGTCTTTTTAAACAATATCATCAGTATAAACATCCAATAGAAGTGAAATGTTTGACTAATTTATGGTCAATAAGAAAAAATCAACATCGAGGTGTACAGAACAAGCTGTGAATCACATATGGAGAAATTCAAACATTTCATTTCTACCCGAAGTTTATGGTGATGATGTCATTCAGAAGGATGACGATGAAAGCTTCACAATCAAACCATCTAGCTCAGAGAACAAAATTCCATCAAAATCATCCACCTGAACTACAAATTTTTTCCACTATCTCAAATTGTTGTAAACTATTCTAACTGAAATGATACAATGGGTTTCCTAAGCTCTCCAAGTAACCTCCAGATTATATTTACACATCAACTTAAACGTATGAGAGAGAAAAGGTGAGAAATATGGAAGAAATGATTGGCTTCCAAAGTTCGTTTATGTATAGAAAATCTAGGCGTTTAGTGAGACTAAAATTTATGGACGAGCTAATCAGAAGCGTTTGAAGGATTTCAAGGTCGCGGCGCCAATTTCAATACTTGATGCTTATATATGATCGGTTCATGGCTTACCTTGGACCTCCAGTAGACTACCGTGATGATTTTGTCTTTTGATTTGATATGTATTGGAGGAAGAAGTCTGTTACAATAGAAATTTATTCTCACTCGATCTAGATTGAGATTTAGGCAAATCATGAACTGGATAATAAAAGCACCAGTAACACTGACTGCAGCTGATTACTACAATATATACGAATATTTGGAGAGCGAAAAGATGCCTACATAGACTTGGTTATGTGCATTATGTCGTTATCCACAAGCATTATTTTGTGGATTTAACAACCGGAGTGTACACAAACAATATTGAAGAAATCTGTTCAAGGATGAAAGAGTTTTTGCCACCTTATTATAACTCCAGAGACTGACTATAGACATTTTGTCCCAAATTTTGTAAAATAGAGAGATTTAAGAGTAGTAATTGAATATGAAAGGTACTTTTCGTTCTATATACTTCGATCTAACTAATGATGTTAATTGAACAACTTTAAATTCTGTACCTATCGGTTCAATTTCGATTGAAACATTCCTTGAGTTATTTAACACGAACACCGGGAAAATGAAGCCATTTACAAATCAAATTCAAATGCGTTTCAAAAATTAGAGATTATCTAGATTCGATAAAGAACATGACGATCTTTGAAGCTAAGGCCACTTGATTTGAATTTCTTTATGCATATCTACAATGATGATTGTCGAATAAGACAAAACGACCGTCTCATATTCCACTACTAACTAATCTTAGTAAAATACCAGAACCGTACAGTAAATTCACCGTTTGCAAATTATTAATCAATCATCTCAAACTTCACTGTTCTTTCGTTTCCATACAAATCATTTTCTGTTTTCGTTCTTTTCTCTTCAATCTTCTTAATCTTCTACCTTCAGACATTTCACTTTCGATTGATGATACATACTACTTATATCTGTTGATATCAGTAGCATACATCACAGGTAATTTTGAACCAAGAAGAGATTAAGTTGATTCTATTAGCGCTTGCACGCTAAACCGATAGTTTCTGGGTTCGAATCCAGCGAACGATATTGTAAGTGTACACTTTTGAAGAGTCTCATACTAGGACGAAACGATCATCCAATACTTCTAGGTTCTTTATTGTAGTTTAGTTTCAATTGACTCATGAATTAAAATCTATGGCTTCATGTTATTTTATGTATTTTTGTCTAGATTTAAACATGTTGGAATATTTGTAGTCATGTTTTTGCATGTATTTGCAACTGTTGGAAAGTGTTTAGTTGTATTTTCTGTGGTGTTTATTGCATTCGCTTTGTCATTTCATGTTTTGTTTCGAGCTCCTGGCTATTCAGTAAGTTTAGTTTTCCTGAACAATAAAGATTTCATTTAGTATTGTTTGTCTAAATCTTTCCATTGATGTTTTTAGGACTACTACTGACCAGTCACTAATTGGCATATGTGCATACTGTGCGTATTGCCTCGATATAGCTTTAATTCACAAGCATGGTAAGCAAAGATAGATAGTGGCTAACAGTGTAATCCAGGACGCACATTTCGTCCTATTTGGGACTCGTCAGATGCATGTACCCGCATCTCGGAGTTGATGTTCACTCTAGGACTCTAACCCAGTAACGTTCGCTTGAAACGCCATTGCGTAATATCCACACGGCCACTGAGTCCTTTTAGCCACTATCCATCTTTGCTTAGTAAAGATTTCAGTTTATGATATAAATTGTGTCTTTGAGTATTTTGATAATGTGTCGACACGATCGCCAATTAGAGAAAAGTAACTTTATCGATAGGATTAAGGACGCATAAACATGAACGAACAGTCTAGTGTTCTAATTGGTCCATGAAATAGTAGCTTCTCATCTAACCCAACTGATTTAGTTCAGAACACCAATCTCAGTCTCCCTTATATTGAATCATATATTTCAAACATACTGAGTTTATATAAAAACCAAACAGACTAGATCACACCGTTAAATAGAAAACAGCATTTTATGTATTTGAACTGGTAGAGAATTCTTTCTTGGAACCATTTCACATTTACTAACGAGGAACAATGAACAATGAAATCTCACAAAGTTATGATACATTAAAATTTAAGAATAATCTACGATTATTGAACATGGATAATTGAATACTATTTCATTTTATAGTCGAATTCATGAGTCGTTTAAACCTTGATCACTTTGAAAAACTTAAAAAACTGGCGAGCCAATGCATCTTCGTATGTGCATTCTTGATTCCGCTTACGGAATTGAAACGTTGGATCTTCATTCATACACTCGGATTTTAACAATCCCCATAACCCCACGCTGATAATCATTATAATGCGCTCGCTAGTGACTGGTTCCAAGATGATTTCCTAGAGTTTTAGAGAGAAGCCGTAACCAGTGGAATCAAATTCGTGTCGAGTAAACATATACATCCACCTAAAACAATGAATGAATGATTATTCAGCCATTTATGGATTGATAGAAGTTAGAAATTAATAACGTTGAATGTCGACTCAGTGGTCTCGAGTTAATGCATTGGCACGCTAAACCAAATGTCCTAGGTTCGAGTTCCGTAGGTTGGAACACGTTTGCACAATATTGAGGAGATCCAAAATAGGATGAGACGACCGTCCAGTATATACAAGTTTTCAATGGTGATCTAATGATGATCTCAATCAAAAACATAATAATCTCCACAACTCTATACTAATTAGTATATGAATCAGTTGAATTTAGGCATTAACTTCGTTGAATGCAGGCTCATTGGTTTCGAGGATAAGCGCTCTCGCGCGAAACTGACAGGTCCTGAGTTCAAATCTCGCCGGGTAAGAACGTGAAAGCTCATTGCTGAGAAATCCCACAAGAGAACGAAACGGCCATGTAGTGCTTCCATGTTCTCCATGGTGGTCTAGCTTCAATTGATTCATGATTTCAGTTATTAAAATTATGATGTAATAGTTAATTTACCACCTTAAATATTGATCTTTGTTTTTTTTGTTTCTAGGAGAATATCACTTTATTATTATCATCATCATCTAATAAATCAATAATCAATCAATGTTTTCCAATAATCAATAATAATCAATTAATCAATAAAACAAAATCATTAGAAATAAAACCATTTCAATATATTGGTTTATCATTATTTAAAACTCTTATGATGATGTTAGGTGAATATGAGCATACAACAACCATAATAGAACCATTTATAGAGAATCATTTATTAACATTAAATTATCCAATAATTACATTTTTCTTTTATACAACATTTGTATTTTTGGTACCAATTATTCTAATGAATTTACTGGTAAGTTTTATTATTTTTTTTAAAATATAATCTGGAAGGATTGGCGTGCCTGAGAAGATAGTCAATATCATACGGAACTCCTATGATGGACTAAACTGCCAAATCGTCCACGGAGGACAACTCACCGACTCGTTCGAGGTAAAGACCGGTGTTAGGCAAGGTTGCTTACTCTCACCCTTTCTCTTTCTCCTGGTGATCGACTGGATTATGAAGACGTCAACATCTGGAGGAATGCACGGGATACAGTGGACAGGCAGGATGCAGCTTGACGATTTAGACTTCTCGGATGATCTGGCTCTTCTATCACAAACGCAACAACAAATGCAGGAGAAAACGACCAGTGTAGCAGCAGCCTCAGCAGCAGTAGGTCTCAATATAAACAAAGAGAAAAGCAAGACTCTCCGATACAACACAATATGCACCAATCGAATTATACTTGACAGAGAAGCTTTAGAGAATGTGGAAACCCTTACATATCTGGGCAGCATCATTGATGAACACGGTGGATCAGATGCAGATGTGAGGGCGCGGATCGGCAAAGCAAGAGCAGCATATTTACAACTGAAGAACATCTGGAGCTCAAAACAATTGTCAACCAACACCAAGGTTAGAATTTCAATACAAATGTCAAGACAGTTCTTCTGTATGGGGCAGAGACGTGGAGAACTACGAAAGCCATTATCCAGAAGATACAAGTGTTTATTAACAGCTGTCTACGCAAGATACTTCGGATCCGATGGCCAGACACTATCAGCAACAAGTTACTGTGGGAGACAACAAACCAGATTCCAGCGGAGGAAGAAATCAGGAAGAAGCGCTGGAAGTGGATTGGGCACACTTTGAGGAAATCACCCAATTGTGTCACAAGACAAGCCCTCACATGGAATCCTGAAGGTCGAAGGAGAAGAGGAAAACCAAAGAACACATTACGCCGAGAAATAGAGACAGACATGAGAAGAATGAACAAGAACTGGAAAGAACTAGAAAAGAAGGCCCAGGACAGAGTGGGTTGGAGAAAGCTGGTCGGCGGCCTATGCTCCATTGGGAGTAACAGGCGAAAGTAAGTAAGTAAGTAAGGAAGGATTGGATGACGATATCGTCCTATTGCGAGATTCTTCAGCAGTGTTCAACTATGATCCCATCTGACGAAATTTGATTCTATTATTTATATTCACTCCGAGACTCGAAAACAGTACCGTTAGCTTTATATATGCATCCTATGAAGATCGACTCAAAATCGCCTTCAATAACAAGCATTATAAGCAGAGGTAGATAGTAACTAGCAGTGGAATTTAGGACACATGTTTCGTCCTCTTTAAGATCCATCAGTTGGATGTAGCTTCATCTCAGAATTTATATTCACTTCGAGACTCGAACACATTACCGTTAGCTTAAAACGTCATTCCATTATTCCCTTAACTATTGAACCCTGATAGACACTTGCTTGTGAAATAGGGTGAAGTTTAAATTCATTTGGTACTGTATTGCTTCAATCTTTCCATTAATGTTTAGGACTTGAATTGATCACTTGCTTTTTGATATTTGTGCATCCTGTGCTGATTGACTTGATACTATCACTTAAATCATAAAACTTTTAAGCAAAGTTGTATAAATTCTTGCGATTCAATGTAGAATGTTAGTTTTGTCCTATTTTGAACTGGTCTAATATGTTATACTGATAGCCATTTCTGATCTATTCAGTATATAATCCAATCAAGATTGATAGAATTTCAGTCAACATATCAATAGCCAAATGATTCGAATCCTTGAAAATCATAATAAAAGTCAATATTCATACGTATATATACTTGAATTGAGTATAAAAACTCACAGTATGACTAACTGAAGAAGTTCAATCACTTAAGAGAATTTTATTACGATCAAGAAACGATCAATGTTTGATCACTATCAAAAACTTGAAAGTACTGGACGAGTCCCATATGTGAAATAGTACATGCGCACTGTTAAGGAGATCTACAATAGGACGAAACGGCTTTCCAAAGATTCCAAGTTTTCAATGGTAGTCTACCAATGATCAATTCATGATATCAATTAAATAGAACTCAACAATCGCCATAACTCTATACTGATACTTAAGGGAATATATATCAGAGACTAAAACTAAGTTAATCAACTTTGAAAAATATTGAAACCTCCACAAAACCCCTTCTGATCTATAATCATATGCTCACCAGCGACTGACTTCAAAATACATGTCCTGGAGTTCTAGTTGGAAGCAGTGACCAGTGGAGTTCAAACACGTCTGTTGTGAGATAACAACTTACTGAAGACAATTGGTGCATGGTTGCTCAAAATTTCGTAGATTGGTTGAAGTTAGACAATAACACCATTGGATGCTAGCCGGCTCATTAGTATGTTGGTTAAGGGCTCTGGATCGACACTGGTAGGTCCTGGATTCGAATCTCGCGAATGCGGAATCGTGGACGCGCACTGCTGAAGAGTTCCATAATAAAACGAAACGGCCGTCCAGTACTTCCATGTTTTCCATAGTGGTCTAGCTTAGATTGACTCATCAGTTCAACTTTGATTAATCAGTACTTTTGTGATGTTTTATTTGATATGGTGTATACTACTTACATCTTTCAGCATATAAGTAGTATATAACAGTAGTCATTTATATTATATTCTTTATTTATAATAATTCAGATTGGTTTAGCTGTTGGAGATATTGAAAATGTTCGAAGAACTGCTTTTCAACATTTAATATCACAACAAGTTTATTGGTTAGCTGATTTAGAACCAAAATTAACAAGAATATTTCGTTCTAAATTATATCAATCCAATTGGAAGAAAAAAACTAAATTGAATAAAACTACAGTAAGTAAATATTTTTCAAAGAGATGAGTCATATAGAAGCGAGACAATCATGGAAAATCTGAAAGTGCTGGACGGCCGTTTCGTCATAGTGTGGGACTTCTCAGCAGTGCGCGTCCACGATCCCGCCTCATGAGTTTCTAACCCAGGATCTATCGGCCCAGCATGAGAGCACTTAACCCCTAGACAACTGAGCCTGCAACCAACGGTGTTGATGTCTAACTTCAACTAACCCACGACACTTCCACCATTGTCCTCAGTGAGTTACTATCTCACAACAGACCCGGTGGTCTAGCATCAATTGACTCATGATCACAACTATTGAAATTACTATAATATCCACAAAACCCTTCTGATATTAAAACTGATCTAGTTATATGTTTAATGGAATAATATAACAGAAGTTGCTGATATTAATCAGATACTTATAATGACCATGTACATTTTGTATGAATGGTTAAGCGACAATCTGATGGTTAATTTGTTTCAGGATGATCTGTGGTGTATATTACTTATATCTGTCCACATATAAGTAGTATGTAGCACCATTCAGAAATGAAATGTCTGACAACAAAAGGCTATATTATTATACAATATATCCTTGTGGGTCAGAGTAATTTTGCATTGGTTTTCAGGAGAATCAGACACCATCCGGACTTTCATGTGACAATCCAAACAGTACAGCTCGATCCCATTTCGCAGGAGAACCAGACAACGCTCAGGTTTAACTCAAGCCACATGGCCCAATCCTACCTCAATGGAGAACCGGACACAATAGTTCAAACTATTGTCTAATATTTACATCTTTTTGTAAATCCTAAATAAACCAACCTATTTTCTTGTCAATTCACAAGATTCTATTTAATCATTTGTTGAGAGGATCTATCTGGAACTTCATCATTGAACAGTTTTATTTTTCTGTTATGTGCTTGAATTGAAGATAAGATCGATAGCATTCAATCAGCACTAAGAAGGACTTGACAAGCATGACATTGTTCACCACCCAGTGATCATTCAATTTTGATTACATCTCAGTCCTACAGGAGGTTGGTTGCGGCCCAGATAGCTCAGTGGTAACATCTCTGACTGTGAAGCTGAGTGAGACGGGATTGAATCTGTCACGGAGCACCAGTTCCCTCAGGATTACAGGCACACCTTGCTGACGAGTGCCAAGTAGCACGAAACCCGGGTCCAGGGTTTCCTGTTGACCACCTCCAACCACCATCTTATCTCAATTGAGGATAATTTTTTTTAGAGCCTAGTCTTAATATTGATTTCTTTTGATCGACACAAATAACCAATCAACTTCCTAATATAAATTTCTGCTGGTTCATTATTCATTTAAACAGATAAGTGGTATAGAACAAATGATGAACACATTTTAAATAGACAGAGGTTTTTCTGGATATTATAGTAATTTAGTAGTTGAATTCATCAGTCAATTAATGTTAGATCACCATCGAAAACCTGGAAGCACTCAATGGCTGTTTCGTCCCCGTATGGGATTCCTCACGGTGAGGGCGAGGATCGGCAAAGCAAGAGCAGCATATTTACAACTGAAAAACATCTGGAACTCAAAACATTTGTCAACCAACACCAAAATCAGAATTTTCAATACGAATGTCTATAAAGTTCTACTGTGTGAGGAGGAACTAAGAAAGCCATCACTTAGAAGATACAAGTGTTTATTAACACTTTTCTAATCAAGATAATTCGCATCCGTTGACCAGACTCTATCAGAAACAACCTACTGTGGCAGTGAACTAACCAGATTCCAGTGAAGGAAGAAATCAGAAAGAAGTGCTGGGACCGGATAGGATATACATTGAGGAAAGCAATCAACTGAGTCACAAGACAAGCCGTCACATGAAATCCTGAAGGCCAAAGGAGAAGAGGAAGACCAAAGAACACATTACGTCGAGAAATAGAGACAGACATGAGAAGAATGAACAAAAGTTAGATAGAACTAGAAAAGTAGGCCCAGGACAGAGTGGATTGGAGAATGCTGGTCAGCGGCTTATGATCCAGTTGGAGTAACAGGAGTAAGTAAGTAAGTAGGTAATGAGACTCCTCAGAGCACATTTATTATTATTGTTATTATCTTCACTTTGTAAGTTATAGCCGTAGATTCTTACTTTCAAATTGAAACTGTTTTCTGTTCTTCACTTTTATAGGGATTCTTAGATAAATCTGGATCTGAAATGACATATGAAGAGAATCTAATACAAAAGTATCTTAAGGAAACAATTAAAAAGTAAGAAATTACTTAACAACTATCATCATGGGTATTACAATATCATGCATAACAATGGGATTCAACCACTTGTGGAAGTTTCATATGATAATGACGATCTTTCTAGGTACTCTGTAATGTCGACGATTACACAAGGTTTTTGATTCGCTCTGTTGAATACTATTCGATAATCAAGCAAGTTGATGTATAATGAGCAGTTTCATTAAGTTTCTTGTTCAGCAATGACACTTTAAGTCACGGTCTGCAGAGGACAAGGGTAATCTTTACGAAAGCTTGCTTATTGCCTCTAAGTTAGGGGTCTACTAAATCTTTTGTACGCTTCGGCAACATTCTGTGCAAAACTTTGCCTGGCTCTGACAATAGTGTGTTGCCTTTTTAGTTCACACATTTACTATGACTGTATTTACTAGATATCTTGATGAAGTCTGTCGGTATTTGTTCTTCTTCTTAAATCTTTCGGAAGAGAACGTGGAACATCTTCGCAGTTACTACACAATGCTTCGGCTGGTGTAGTGTCTGATCCAGGTGCATTATAGTTTTTTTCTATTAGTCTTACTAATTTCTTCTACTGTCAATGAGGTGCTATCTGTTGGCCAATTCACCCTAGTTTATTCAAGAGTTCTTCAAAGCGCTTTAACCACCAATTCTTTTGTTCTTTTAAACCTCAGTGGCTGGTTTGTCTTCTTTGTTTCTGACTGATTACTCTAGTCTGTTACATTTCCTTGTTGGCTTCTTGGCTGTATAATGCAGTTTTTTAAACATTTCCTTCTCTTACGGCGTGTTCTGCTGTAGTTACCAAGTCTCCTACATATATATGCTGGTCTTTGGCTGTTGTTAGCTGTTTTCTTCTTGTTTTTTCCATTGTCTAATCTTGACCAGAATGTCGACAGAAACCCATTCCCTATGTTTTTTGCTTCTTGGGATCTAGTCCTTCTTAATATGCAGAAATGTTTACTTCGGTAATCTACTTTCATTTGTTCTTAGCGATTTCCTCCTCTTCTTGTAAGTTTTGAATGACTTGAAACTTGTTGCTGAAAACTATCTCGAATTCACTGAATTTGTTATTATATTGAGGGAAGGTTTCATTAAACTTTTGTAGTGCTACTTGTTTGGACATTCATTCCTTTTATAGCTTGAATTTTATCTTAACCACCATCACAAGATAATGAAGCTACATGACCTCTCTACTTTTTTCGTTATGTCTCTCATAAACCTTTTGGGTTTGTTATTTGGGTGTATGAGGATAACCTAGTTGTTCCTAGTGTCTTGTGAAACTTACTAATCTAAAACTATATTAAAGAAAGTAGATAGATATGCTAGTTTCACATCATACTTTTTTCTTACTCCCAGTCATTGTCGGCTAAAGATTTTGTTATCATGTTTCCAGCTACCATCGGTTGGTGAGTAGCACCGAATGACTTTCACTATAATCCTGTCATTTTTTGTTTTGAACTGTGCCCTGACAATCCATCCAATAAGCACTTCTCGTGCTTCTTTGGATAACATCAGTGAAACTCTTTGTGTATGTAAGGAATTTTATTCTCAGTGATGATAGTACAATAACATCTCTCTTAAAGTTATACTTTCCTGTCCAGATTGTGTCCTATGAGTTTCGTTTGATCCAGAGAACTAGGTCGTATTTTCTGATTTCCAATGCTATTGGAGTGACCCTCCCAGTCAGCTATGTTGTCCTGACATTCTATGTATCGGTATTACTTGGTTCTTTGGTTATCAGTGACCTCCACGAATGGATCAAAAGAATTTGTTTTACACATGTAACTGATGATGAAAATGAAAGTGAAATTATAACACCAACTAAGTTCAAATTAAGTGAAATAACTTTGACTTGAGGACTTCTAATTCTGGAGAATGATCAATCTATAAGGTAATGAGATTCTTCAACGGAAAAAAGAAAGGATAAAACCACTTATAGTAATATGAATATACAATCAGGGAACAGTTTTGCCATATATGAAGGATGAACTATGTTTGCTGGTTAGATAAAACTGTTGTGACCGAAAAGGGAACACTTTCTGCAACCAACAAGGTCTGTAAATAACTGTTACATAATCAGACTACTTTTTAGTTAACAAGTAGTATAATCTAATCACGTAAAATATCAGCGAAAAGGCGACTTGATAACATTATAAAATTTTTCTGAAATAGATCAGAAGGAGTTTTGTGGAGAATTTAGTATTTTTCATAGTTGAAATCATGATTCAAATGAAGCTAGACCACCATGGAAAACCTGGGAGCATTGGACGACTGTTTCGTTTTATTATGGGACTCCTCAGCAGTGCGCATCCACGATCCCGCACACTGGCGCGAGACTTGTAGGTGCTGGGTTCGAATCTCGAGTTAGCGGGATCATGAATGTGCACTGCTGAGGAGTCCCACAATAGGACGAAACAGCCGTCCAGTGCTTCCCGGCTTTTTGAAATAATCAACAAGTTTATTACTCTAAAATAAGTTTTGTCATCTTAATATAAGCAACTCCTGATCGTTTGAAATCAGTGTCTTTCAATATATATTTAATGACTACTAAACTGCGTACTTTTTCAGGCAACAAATACTTTTTATAGAAGAGTTTAAATAATAACGAATATGACATCAAATTGTCCAACTGAGATATGTAAACAAAATTCATTGTTCGTGCTCAATTTGAGATGGTACTAAGCTCCTAAATGCTGTGGTACGGCCGAGTGTAAAGAGAATCAGCTCTCCCTCTCCAAGTGCTCTCACATGAACACGCATATACAGCCACTGACATAGAAGCGTTAATCACTGACTTCTCGCCTCGAGGGCGTGGTTTACTAATTTAGAGGACGAAAAGCGAATGTCCGGCGATCTAACCTGATTGATGAACACATAGGGTACACCTAAAGGAGTTGAAAAATTTTCATTAAAAACCATTGGTACACATGTGCTCCAATATCCTGAGGGAACAAATATCATATGAACCAATTGTTGGTCACCGACTACCATGAGGCTACATATTCTGACATCGCCCCATCGCCGTGTGGATAAGACCTTTAGGTTGAAGGCTTGTGGTGTGGATCCCTAAGAAAACCACCTGTTTCGGTCTTTTCAATCGGGCAATATCAAAACCCACACACAAATCAAGTGACTTGTGTAGAGCATATGCATTCAGCGCCCACTTTGTACCAATATTTATATGATCAAATAATAATTAAACATAATGAAGCTGGAAAGTTGATAAACGATTAAGGATAAAATAATATCAACATTACGGTTTTGATTGTAGCTAAGAATCTATGGTAAAATCTGGATCAATTTCCTAAGGGGTATATGTGTTATCTATCAAGTAGTCATTTAATTGGTTAGCATGTAGCTCATTGTGTATTAGTATCAATTTTTAGGCACCACATATCACAACAGATTATCACAAAGAAGACGTAGAATTTGTATATCTCTTACAAAGTGAACAAGGAATAAATCGAACTATATCAAATTAACATTCATATTCAAATAAGCAAATGAGGATTTCCCAGGGACCAACTGCTGTAATATACACAGTTGAGGTAAACATGCTTTTGCCCTCAGTTATATGTAATATGTGATGTTTTTCATCGATGTATACATTTCTCTATTCATGTGACTAACACTACAGAATCAGAAGGGTTTTGTAGGGAGTTTAGTCATTTTATGGTTGAATTCATGAGTCATTTGAAGCAAGACCTGGAAGCACTGGACAGCCGTCTCTTCCTATTGTGAGACTTCTCAACAATGCTCACCCATGATCCCTCCATGCAAGATTCAAAACCAGGACCTGTCAGTCTTGCTCGTGAGCGCTTAACCTCTAGACCACTGAGTCAGCATCTAACGGTGTTAATGTCTAACTTCCAAATTACTGTACTGAATGTTTTTTTGTTGTTTTTTTACGAAGTTTTATCTCTACATGCATTTAGCATTTGATCAATATGCATCATAACAGACATTGTTGTTTCTGTGCATACAATATTTCAGACTAACATCTATTGACAAAGAAACTAAATTACAAACAACTAGAATGGCTGAAATAATTGAAAAGTTAGAAATTCGATCTAAAGAATTCAGTATTGATGAAGGTGTCTATCCAAGAGTATGTATATTCCATTGCATTTTTCGTTCTTTATAATAGTGTATGAATACTGTATCAATATCTCAAGTAACAAACACTCATGAAATGGTTAACTCATTATAGGCAAAGATGGATAATGGCTAGCAGTACAATACAGGACGTACGTTTCGTCCTATTCGAGGCTCGTCAGCTGAATATACATGAATCTCATACTTGATGTTCACAATACCGATTGTAAGCAAAGATAAACAGTATCTAGCAGTGGAATCCAGTTTGACGTGCGTCTCTTCCTATCTGAGACTCATCAGCCGGATGTACCTGAATCTCAGACTTGATGTTCACTCCAGTACTCAGACTCGGTAACGTTCGTTTCAAACACCATCGCGTTATCCACTCAGCTACTGAATCCTGATAGTCACTTGCTTGTGCAATGAGGTGAGGTTTAAGTTCACTTGGTATTGTTTGTTTGAATCTTCCCATTGATGTTTATGAGTGCAACTGGTCAGTCTCTTATTGGCATATGTACATACTGAGCGTACTGCCTCAATATAGCCTATCAGGACTAAGTAGCTGAGTGGATAACGCGATGACGTTTGAAGCGAAAGTTACTGGGCATGAGTCCCGGAGTGAACATCAACTCTGAGATGCTTAGGAGTCCCAGATAGGATGAAACATACGTCCTGGATTCTACTGCTAGCCACTATCCATCTTTGCTTATAATTATTGATTGATGTTTGATGTTCTACCATACACAATAATGTCATCAAGATAAATCAAACATTTATGGTGTACTATGTCTTGTATAACTGTTTGCATTAGTCTTTGGAAGATAGCTGGGGCATTCGTTAGACCGAAAGTCATTACTTGGAATTCGCATAAACCAATTGGCACTACAAATGCGGTTTTCTTTCTATATTGTGGTCTGAATTCCTCTTGCCAGTACCCCGGTGCTAGGTCTAATGTCAAAAAGCAACGTGCGCCATTCAAGGCGTCTAATATAGCATCGATTCTCGGAAGCAGGAAAGAGTCACGCTTAGTTATAGCGTTAAGGCGTCGGTAGTCTATACAGAGTTGCAAGGAGAAACTTTCTTTTTCAACAGGACAATAGGTGATGCCCATGGGGATGATGACGAGACTATAATATTCTTGTCTAGCATATCTTTTATCATTATATCTAGTTGCGGTTGATAGTGTACTAGCATCCTATGAGGCAGTTGCCTAAGTGGCTTATGGTCTCCTGTGCAAATGGAGTTTTGCACCGTACTCATTCGGTTCCCAGAAATACTCTCTTCGAACACCGAACATGATAGATTATGAACTATTTCGACGTAATACATTTATCGTTTATATTTATATTTATATATTTCAATTCTATAGGAATTTTCTGGTTTTGATCCAATCATGGAAATGGATTATACAACAAATCTCAATCCGTGATTTCTTTGATGAATCAATGAAGCGGATTGAAGATGGAAGAAAAAAATGATTTGATCTCAACCTTTGGAAGTTCCTACCTTCTTTAACATTTAAGTAAAAGATTTCATTAAATGAATATTACAATTTAATTACAGAATTACTCTTTTTATTTATATTTAAGATCAGAAGGAGGGGGGGTTTGTAGAGATTTTAGTAATTTTATATAGTTGAAATCATTAGTCAATTGAAGCTAGACTGCCATGGAAAACCTGGAAGCACCAGATGACTAAGAATTCTTACAATAGGACGAAATCACCATCCAGTGCTTTTAGGTTTCCCATGATGATCTAGCTTCAATTGACTGAATTTCAATGTTAAACTTTATCATTATCAGGAATCTATCCAAATCAGATGTAAGTCGTGTTCAAGACCAAGTGTCTGGCATTTCGATTTCCTGGTTATATGTGGTTATGGTAGAGTATTGTTAAAGAGCTTCATACATGAATTAAACGGTTTTTCCAATGCTCTTAAGTGTTTAGTAGTTGTCTAATATAAATTGGTTTATGATTTGCCGAAATTAAGTTTTTCTTGAAGAAGTTGAGCCTAAGGTATTTCTTTTGCTTCTGTTTTTCAATTATATACACTTTCATATCAAAAGTAATAATAATGATTGAGTGATTACGTAAAGTTTGGATAAGCTCAATGAGTGTATGAGGGCAATGATACTGTCTAGGTGAACAGACCGAACAGGTGGTTTTCTTAGAGATCCATACTCGGAGACTTCGACCTATAGTTCTTGTCCACAAAGCAATGGAGCATCGTGAGGACATGCATTCTCATAGTTGTCGGTGATGATTAATTGGTTCATACGCCATTTGTTCCCTCAGGGAATTTTATAGCTGAATTCATGAGTCACTTGAAGCTAGACCACCATGGAAAACCTAGAAGCACTGGACGACCGTTTCGTTTTAGTATGAGACTCCTTAGCAGAGTGCATCCATCCTGTCTTGCGAGATTCAAAACCAGCACCTATCAGTCTCGCGCTTAACCACATAAGTAGCTCTCAAACGTTCTCAACCTTATCTCATCATTCTCGTCGGGATATAACAGTAATGTTTATAATTCTCGAACTGATATTCAGTAATCTTCATGATTACTTAATGGATAACATCTACTTATGAAAAAGTTTATAAGTCAAACTAATGCTTTAATTCAAACAGAACTTCTGATGTCTCCTCTATATACAGTGAAACTTTAAAAGTTTTAAATGAGATCTACATGATGCTGAAATTGAATGCTTGTTATTCTTTACATGTTACACTAAAATAAACACTGCATCCTATACGGACTGCCTCGATATTGCCTGAAGTCACAAGCATTATAAGCAAAGATGGATAGTGGTTAGCAGTGGAGTCCAGGACTCGCATTTCGTCCTATTTGTGACTCGTCAGCTGGATGTACCTGCATTTCAAGTTCATGTTCACTTTGGGACTCTTGGTGTTGTTGATCGAATCTTCATTCTATGTACTTCTATTGTGATCTATATCACTGAAACAATAATACAACTATTAACAACATTTGAGTTATACTCAATAAATGAACAAGCAGTACATTCATTCAATGTAAACAAACACGTCACCCTTTCAATATTTCAAGTCAAGATGAATCCTTCTACACCTTTGCCATCGGGAGAATTGAGAAGAAAACTTGATTTTACAATGTAATACTTTATTGATATAAAAAAACAAAAAAATGAACCATTTAAAAAAACAACTAAAATCATTCAAGTAATTGTCATGGCAACATGAGCATGGGTTAACAACAAACAATTAGATAGATTGATCAATATACAATATGAATATCAAATTTAACTAAACAGTTTGTATACAATTTGAGATCATGAGAGAAAGCTGGTTTGTACCTACTACAGCAACAAGAAGGAGTTCCAAATGATAGTGTCGTGGTATTCCACAACTAGTACTAGTAACATGAAAATGATCCAACAAGAATGAGATCACATTGAATAGACAATAAGAAGAAGGTATAATCACATATGAACAATCAAATTTCAATTTTGACCAGATCAAGCACTCATAATCAATTTGCAAAGAAGTACAATGATGTAATGAAATGATCCAAACATACCAAATATATATATGATAGAGTCTATATGTTTACAAAGGTGATGATCATGAGAGATTCACATACATACATGATTGGAATCAAATGATATCACCTTATTATTGCACATTACGCCTTCGATGATAATGATGATGATATAGATGTGATTGTCTGTATGAATCCCGAATCATCAACTTGTCACCATAGTTTCGACTTTATTGTTGATTATTGGATTAGTCCCATCTTTTCATTCATCATTCACAGTTGATCCATTCTATAGAAGCCAACCTTGTGTATAGTTTCACCATTCTAAACATCACATAATAGTGATGTTTATCACTTCCACATTTAGGATTGACCAATTTAGTTATTATTTATATAATCCCCTAAGACTAATCGATATTATATGACCTTGTAGGTTACTGATGATTGGTCTATTCATTTCTTCTATCTTTCCAACCCTTATTATTTAAGTAGGGAATAAGGAAGAAATTTATTGGGAATATGATTATAATTGGTCTAAAATGGCAGGAAATAGAAGGAAATTTTTTTCACAAGGACCGATACCATTGAATGGTCTCTAGTGTTCATGCCAGTGTCAGTCTGTGTGTGTGTGTGTGTGTATGTATGAAAATCATTTCAGTTTAAGGTCAACAATTCAATGACTCATATTATATGCCAGTCAACACACAGTTAAAAAGCATTTACCTCTATTTTTCTCAGCCTTCCGGTTTCATACCTTAATGTTGATATTTGAAGTTTGGCATTAGTCTAAAGTAGTGTTAATATGATTTGAGTGTAAGTTGTATGCTTGGTAGTTTTAATGTTTAAGGTGGGATGTTTAATTTATTATTTATGTAAGCACAAATATTGGTACAAAAAGGGCACAAGATATATATGCCCCATACAAAACTCATTTGATTTGTGTGAGTGCTGTGATACTGCTCAGGTGCCCAAACTGAAATAGGTGGTTTCCTTGGGGGGTCACACCCGGAGCCTTTGACCTTAAGGTTTAATGCACAAGGCAGTGGAGCATTGTAAGAAGATGTAGTCTCATGGTAGCCGGTGACCAACAATTGATTCATACTCCATTTGTTCCCTCGGGGTACTGGAGTCAGCCCATGTGCACCATTGGTTTGAAATGAAGGTTTTCCAACTCCCCTAGATGGACTTCCCGTGTTCACCAACCCGGTTGAAGCTCCGGACATTCGCTTTTCATTCTCTCAGTTTGGTAAACAACAGTAATGCCACGAGAAGGCAGTGAGTAGGACTTTCCTGGCAGAAGCTATCTAGATGTGAGCATTTGGAGAGGGAGAGAGGACTCTCCCTACTTTCGGCCGTACCAGGGCATTCGGAGGCGTAAATAATAAAGTTTTCTTAACTTCTTTTTTATATAACTTAACTGAAGATTCGTTTGATTTGCTAAGGTTGTTATGATTTACCGAATTCGAAGATTATCGTATGTCAGTCTATATTAATAGGCCATTACTTTCTTGAACCGTATTAGGCTTAATTAAATTAGACTGAAGATTCAGAAATACGTCCGATAAATCGTTAGCATTTCTTCATTCTGCAAATTAGGCGTGTCTCTTAAATGGAATGGCAAAATGATTAATCTAGTCAGTTATGGAAATTCAGTTTTATATGTTGTTCCTATTGTACAGCGACTCTGAATTGAGTGTAAAGTATCAGTTGTATTATATGTTGAACATAAGTTTGACTGGCCTACCAACTTAAATGCGTTGTGAGCTTTTAGTGCACTTTTTTGGTAGAGATCTTGAAGCGATTAGTGTTAGACCATCATTGGAAACCTAGAAATATTGGACGGCCGTTTCATCCTAGTTTGGGACTCCTCAGCAGTGCGCATCTATGATCCCGCATAAGGAACTCAAACCCAAAATCTTTGATCTCTCACGCCAACACTTAACCTCTAGACCACTGAGTCTTCATCCAATGATGTTGTTATCTAAATTCCATTGATCCATGAATGGTTGAGCATTTATTGTTTGAAGAAAATACTTGTCTCTACTTGACATGAATTGAACTCCAATGGTCAGGAATTCTCATTAGAGCTCCAGGAAATCATTTTGAAAGTAGTCATTCATAAGCACATGATGTTTACTTCAGTGTGGGGTTGTGAAGATTGTTAAATTTTTGATTAATATTATCAAACAATTGATGTTAGATCATCATTGTGTTTTACAAGCTCAAAAAGTGTTTACATCCAACACTTGTTTCTATTTTTAATGAATGAGTCTTAAATATATAATTGAAGTTTTCAACAAACATTTCAATGAAGGCATCTAGAGTAATCTGAGACTAACTGCTATGAACATAAAGTAGTTTAATACACAAGATGAAAAATAACAGTAATTATCCATTAAATAAACCTTAACCCCATTTCTTATTCCCATATCATCTCTTCTTGATTGTTAATCTCAATAAATCATTAACATTATTCTAGATCATATATAGATATCTTGGTATAACATGTCTCATGACTGAATATTTTCATCTCCTATAAATGAAGACAGCAAATGTAGCAGCAGCCTCCGCATCGATAGGTCTCCACATTCACAAAGGAAAAAGCAAGATTCTCAAATGCAACACGGAGAACACCAACCCAATCACACTTGATGGCGAAACTCTGGAAGAGGTGGAAACATTCAAGTACCTGGGGAGCATCGTTGATAAACAAGGAGGATCGGATGCAGATGTAAAGGCGAGGATTGGCAAAGCAAGGGCAGCATTTCTACAATTGAAGAACATATGGAACTCAAAACAACTCTCAACCAATTTCAAGGTGAGAATCTTTAATACGAACGTCAAGACAGTCCTACTGTATGGAGCTGAAACGTGGAGAACTACTACGGCCATCATCAGGAAGGTACAAGTATTTA